TGCACCCTGATTACATTTGCATTTTTGGCACGAGGGAACCCTCATCTTGTGTGAATTAACAAGGAGGTAGAGGTCTGGCCCGCTGGAGCACATAGAGGGTTGTTGAAGGTGATTAGATCAGTCGAACTATTACTCAAAGCTTCCTTATCTTCAGTTATTGATTCTGTGCCAAACCATTCAGAACACTTTTCTAACAATGAAGTATATTTGTACAACATTGTCCAGTATTAACTTATTACCTTACTCATGGAGTCCTGACTGGCTCTCCACATCCTCATTAGTTCACCATCACCACATCACAGTATTACTCAACCTCCCCACACTTATTTACAGACAGTAGAGTTATGACCGTCTGACGCTGCAGCATTACTCATGTTCATTACTGGTTCGAATTCCAGTTTGTGTTGTTCCATCCCAGTGACTCTGTGTTTGTGCAGTGTCAAAGAGTTTTCTGCGAAATTTAATACAGCTTTTTGGATGAGCGATGCATGATCTCATGTAAAGTTTTTTTTAATAACATGTTGTTATGTTAGTGACGTAACTTGGCAAATCAGGGAATCTGCTCTTTCGCAGCTTGACAGATATGTAAAGGTCAAAACACAGAAGATTAAATTAGATTTTAAAAAACAGTGTACCTTGATTGATCCCAAAGGCAAAATTCAATTTCATACAGCAGAACTAAAATTGAGTAGCCTGGGGGGAAATGTAGTAAGAAATAAATAAGGAATAGAAACAGAATCCAAACTAAATAATATAAAAATAGAAGTAGTATTTACAATAACAATAGACTTATTCTACATGTGCATTGTGTGAAATACAGAATGTTAATTTATTTGTGCAATCTTGAGGAATTGTACAAGCGCACATTAGCAACTGGACTTTCTTGTACCTCCTCGCTTTTTTATATACACTTGACCTGGATGACAGAGTGTCCCTTAAATCCAGATTCTGTACATATGCAATATGTGCATAGCAATGATTCTACTGTGATTCTTGGCTTTACTCCTTAGACCGTAGTAACATTGTGCAGTCTGATGGATGATGGCATGAGGAGATCCCCAAGCTCTTTGAGGCGTGTGGCTGGTTGAGTCTGTGTTGTGTCAACTCGGCACAGAGAGGTATAAAAGGGGTTGTCTGTGATAACTGGCAGCTTTTCTCTCATCCACTGCCCTGTCACTGTCTCACCTGCAACATGCCACAACAACTCTTACAAATGTGTTTTCTAATACAGTGACAACAATAGACATTAACGTTTGAAGCTGCATTAGTAAATTGGCCATTTGTGGGCGGAATATTTTTTTTTATCAAAACCAAATAGAATGTAGATACACATATACATGCATACATATAAATACAATATTCTCATAACTATGTGCAAACTTTACATTTTACACATTTATTTTACACAGATACAAAAGTGAATTAAAAGGAGTTTAAAATTATTTGTGAACACTTTACACGTTAAAATGAATTTTAACTAATTTGACAAAAGTTAGGTGTCACTTGACCTGATAAATCTGATAAATCGAGTCATGTCAAGCAGAAGTCAACCCTGTGTGAATGACACAATGCTGGTACTTTTACAGCTTTACAATGTTCGATATGGATTTATTCAGACTTCTGAGAGGGTAACAGAAAGAGTCATGGTATGTGTGTGGTTTTTGTCATCTGACATGTGAAATTAGACATCACTGGAAGTTATACATAACAGGTTCCTCTTAAGCTGCTTGGTTATTGTGTCTTCAGCGCAGATGGAGAACAGGTTTGTGATCATACCATTGACCAATTTCCAGCTGTTTTTGCTAAGTATGTTATATTATGTTGTCATTCAAAAAACTCAAAACAGCTCCTCTTTGTAGTCAGCCCTGCCGCTGAACAATGTCTGGAGTTAGGTTGCAGCTTTTTGAGCTTCACTTTCTAGACTGCTGTGATTTGTAGACGGATAATTTGACTATACTTTGTCATTTAGTATGCACCATTGTTGTGACTGAATTTGTCTCGACTTGTAACAGAAAGGGGTACACGTCCGATATATCATTTTTCTTCTCCTTTAATTTCAAAGGATAAATATGGCCACATCACTGCTTTTACCAACTACTTGCTAACTGTGTCTTGTCCGTATTTGGTGCTTAACAGGTGTCAGTAGTGACAAAAGAGCTTTTTGCTTTGAAGAGCTACGAGACTGGACTGAACTGGAAAATGTTGGGCTGGAAAACCAAAGTAGATTAGATTGAGATTAATTACAGACTCAGAGCTGAAGGGAAGCTGACATCTGGAGATAGTTGTCTGTGAGTTCATCGATAGGAGCGACACCTTTCGAGGTGCATAAAATAATACGTTCCAGTGTTCATATAAAAATGTTGCTTAGCAGCTGTACATTTTCCTATGAAAGTGTTTATGGCCTATGAAGGGCCACAGATCTCAGACAGACTGGAGGACAAATAAAAATGTTTGGCAGGACTTTGACTTGAAGAATTCTTTTGTTTGTAGGTAGAATTTTTGAATGATTGTTCCGCTCTGATCTCCATTGCTTGTACTTACTAATAGGCAGCAGTGTTTTGCTCATTAGTGAGTGGAGCACAGTGAGTCCCCATTTCTCCTGACGTCCTGACTGTGTAAAGCAGTAGGGGAGTTGGTAGTGGGAGCCATCACGCAGCCGTAAGCATTCATTCCCACTTATACTTAGTGTTTTATAGAAGAGAGGAGAAGGCCTCCAGTCTGCCTTACAGTACACACACATGTTGCAGGGAGTCTGCAAAGCTTTATAAAGCCTTAATGAATGAGCAGCTTCCAGTTTGGTGAGCAGTCCTGCTGTTTTTCTCAGAAAGTAACATTTGTACCTATTTCCCTTCCTTTAATGCAATTTTTAGTTATTCGTGGTCACTGATCTCTCCATTTACATCCATGCATCTCTTATAGTCCTGACAGCTGAGCTGCTTTAGATATAGATGTAGATCACAGTGTTTTAATTAACGTCACATGTAGCATCAGCCAGAATAATTCAGTTTAATGGCTGTATGTTTAGAAACACCATTATCAGGAAGTGGCTTTGGGATACTTTCTGTGAAACTTAAAACACATCTGTCTGTGTCTGTCCTTACTTCCACTAACAGTGGAGCATGTGGATACTACTGTAGATTGAGCAACAGTTGTTGACTAACAGCAATAATAATAGTAATTGATAACATCCATGCTGAGCTAATAACCACATTACAGAAACAAAACTAAACAACTCCAGGCAGCCTGAAGCATCAGCAGACAGCCTCTCCTGACCCTTCTCTATTACTGACTTCAAAATGAGGAGGAAATGAGGAGCAAATACATATTTAACATTTATAACAGATGGGAAACAGTTTAGTTCTTCAGCCTTTATCAGTCACAAAAATGACCTAATTCCATTTAACAGTGTTTCAGTTGGTTTTTAGTTTCGTTGTGAAGCCACTCACTCACAGCCATGTGTCTCTATAGAAAAATGGGGAATGTTAGAATTCCGTCCTATAGAGATTGAGCTGTTAAATATTGTTTGTGTTGTTCTCCTCCAACAGTTATTACGACCAGCAGCCAAACACATGTCAGTGATGACAATACTGGAGGAAAAACTAAAAGCCAGACCATAGTTTTTCTACATTAAACAAAGTCCAGTGATGGATATGACGTTCTGTCTTTGAGGATGAGTCTAAAATAGTCTTGATTTATGGAACATTATGAACAAGACCAGCTCAGTCCTGTTCTAGGTAGAAACACATTTACTGTAGTAACACTTCATATTAAAACAGCAGGTTTGTACTGATGTAAGACAGTGGTGATGAATATATTTCAGTTGGTTGTTGTTTGGATCACTTCTTGTCTTATGTTGATGAGAAATCTTTAGAGTACATTTGAATGGAAGAACATTCTCACCAGTCAAAGGAAAACACTGGGCTCTGATCAGATACAGACATAAAAAAAATAGAATTACCTTTGGTTAGTCACAACAGTGCGACCTGACTCACCCTTACCACACCTTAGTGTAAATAGCATACATCCTCTTTAAGTTGTATGACAGTTTACTGAATGTGCAGCAACAAGTCTGTTTTACTAGAGGTTAGTGTCAAAGTACGCAAAGGTAAAAATGATCTAAAAGCATCTGGTTGGGGTTAAAAATCAGTTCATGAATGTAGCTCCCACCCATGGTTAATAGGACATTGGCAGCAATATTGTCAGCTGCAAAATGCTGCCTGTGAATGTTTAGTCAGGGTTTACCCAAGACTGACCCAGACTATTGCATAAGAATACATTACACAAAAACAAAAGTGTTGTTCATTTTATTTCTACAAATATTTGACACTCAACAGAGAAATATTTGTTTAATCAGCAAACGTCATCTAACTGCAGCTGTGAGCGTGACATGGTTTTCAGATAACTTCCCTTCTCAGATTTGTACATTGATGACACATTGAGTTTGATTACTGAACAGCAGCTCTTCCAAATGTTATGTGTATCATCACGAATGCAGAGAAGCCGCCCTGCAGAATCTGTAAAGTCCAACTCTGTGGTCTTTCTTATTAACTGTGTGTTCTCTCTGTAACACTAGCACCACTCTAAGCAGTTGAGTACATTCAGAATAGCACTTTAAAAATGTTTTTCCACATGATTAAAAAAAACCTTAGAAAATAGTACAAAAACACATATGATAGATTAAACACTGTTGCTAACTCGACCGCTACAAGCCACTGTTACAACGTGCCACTGAAGGGTTGTCTGGTATAAGATCACACCGTCTGTGTCAGGAGGCAGTAATGTGTTCAAATGACTTCAATAAATTAAAACAAAAGGGGAAACATCAAGCAATATAATAGGCTTGTATTTCCAAGTGTGGGCAACAATCATACTTTCATATGAGAAGAAATCTGCCCCGGTATTATTTATTCAACATTTGAAACTAACATACAAAATGACAGATAGCAGAATCCTGATGGAAACTAAATAACGTCAGTGCTCGGTTGATATCATTTTTTTTGGGTTTTGTGCATTTTCAGATATTGATTTAGAGTTAGAGCATATGGTCAATAAAAAATGAACAAATAAAAATGTTCATCCAGCATGTTTGTCAGTTCAGATAGATGTCTTCAGTTGAGAATGATCTGCTCTATAATTTATTCACTTTTCCAACTGAAGGCCACTTTAAAAAAAAAAAAGAAAAAAGGAAGGTCTTTTCATTTACTTTTTCCATTGACTTTTTTGTCACAGAACAGGGGGTTACTCATCTTCATGAAATCCTCTATGTCCACCTAGTCTATATGTTTCCTCTTTCTTCACGTGGCCTAATGTGTCCAAGGCACTGGGATTTCGGGGGGGGGACTGCCTTGTGTGACAGTGGGTGGCAGAGTCATCTGTAAAGCAGCACAGAGGCTCAGTAGGGGTACGTTGAGATGGAGATGTAAATGATGAAGATGCTCTGGTAGGTGATGCGGCCCTGCAGCGAGATGGTGGTGGCCTGCACCTTCAGCCGCACAAGTCCTGCTCGTTCCAGAGCCCGCATGGTGAAGATGATCCCCCTGCCGGCCTCGTCTCTAATGCCAAACACCCGGCCCATTACACCCGTCTCTGATTGTTGCTCAAGTATGGTGAAAGCCGTGCGCTCTTGCAGGACGCCTGACTCAGAGAAAGCCGACAGTCGTACCACATTGTGATTAGCTGGAATGCCAGAGGGCAGTGTGAGCAGCTTGTATTGCAGGAGCAGAGGAGAGCCTCCTGTGGCACAGTCCAGAGAGCAGGGCCTGTAACATGTCCTTTAAAAAAGTCAACAGGAAAGAGCAAGTTGTCACTGACAGGTCAGGATTGGAGTGTTATTTTAACACTATAATACACTACAGTCATGCAATTTACCCAGGGCTTGCACCACTCTGAAAGGAAGCAGGGCAGGGTGTATCCAGGCACTGGTGTCCTCCTCTGGTGTTAAAACACATCTGATTGTGTCCACACTGGATGCCTTGTTCTTCACACTCATCAATGTCTAACAGTAGAGACAGAGGAGAAGTTTGCTGTAATTATGTAAATTAAGAAACTTAAGTACTTGGTTTGGAAAGAGTTTCAGTACGCTCTTACCTTTACAGCTCCTGCCATTGGGTAAGAGCTGATAACCCGGGGGACACTGGCACTGGAAACTGCCAATGGTGTTCCGACACTCGTGTTGGCATGGCTTCCTGAGCAGACACTCATCCACATCTGCACAGAGAGTGATGTGTTTGAGACTTAGTATCAACTTCTGTTGTGATTCGATGACAAGTGGTCAGTCTGAAATTAGTATATTCACACCTGGTATTGAAATATCTCCTGTGACCCCCTTTGATTGGATCTCACTTACCCACACTATATGCAAATAATCACAACTGTCATTTGTGTTTGTGTTTGTAAAGACCAGTGAAGAGTATACAAATCACTCAGACCACCTCAGCGTGTGGTCTGAGTGATCGGATCTCAAGACTCCTATGGGTGCGTTCACAGACACTTAGCACTGACCACTTGTGATCTGATCACTCGGGACAGATGTTAATACCACATCTGTACGGGGTCAAAGAAGCTGACCAGACAGTATGATGTGGACATGCTGTTCTTTGTTTTGAATACTGTACATGTGAACTAGTGTTGATGCACACTCACCAACACACGTTCCGTCTCTGTTGGTGTACCCTGCAGGACAGCTCTGTCTGGTGATGCGAGATGCTCCGTGAGAACGCGAGAGGATTGGCCTCCCCAGAGATGACACTAGCTGCGGGCGGACTCTTGCCCTGACTCTGGTCCCATTGGTGAAGGTCTGCCCTCTCTCCAGCCCTGCACAGGAGCGTCCATCCCCAAGCAGCACAGTACCGGGTGGGCACAGGCACCTGAAGCTGCCAGGCACATTGCGGCACTGGAAGGCACAAGGGTTCGGTGTCTGCAGGCATTCGTCAATGTCTGGAAGGTAAAAAAAAAACACTCATGTTGGTTGTGCTCTTCCTCAGAGCATCATCAATGAGTTGTATAACAAAACACACGCAGCAGATATCATACCCAGACATGGAAGTCCTACTCCTTGTGTTCGATAACCTCTGGAACATACACATCCGTAACCGCCGATTGTGTTCTGACAGATCTGAGTGTAGCGACACATGTGGCTTCCATCCTGGCACTCGTCAATATCTGAAAAATAGTTAGTTGATTACTTTTAAGCCAATCTTAAACAAAAAAAGCAGTTGAGACCACTGAGGACGACAGTTTCCTAAATGTGTTGCCTCCTGTTATAAAGAGGATCTTTGTTTCTTCCGTCAGAAGCTTTCTCTCATTAACAACTAGCTGACTTTTCAAAGCCTAGTGAGGGATCAGTAGTGACCTCTTGCTGTTTCATGTGCTTAAACAATCTTGTGAAATCTGATCAGGTGCTACGTAACCTAAAATACAGTTGGAGGTTGTTAGAAGCTTCCAGTTTAAATCACCAATGGTCTTGTTGGCTTTTGCTGATTATGTCAATGAAAGACAAAGGCAGGGATTTTTTGAGGGCGAAGCTAAATGATCTTCAGAGGCTGAGTCTGGTGCTGCTGTCTCAGAATGGATGGAGAGATGGTTTATGTATGGTGGAACAGTACATTTAGCAGCCTGTATGAAAACAAAGCGGATGTATGAAAGCCATTTACCCATGCAGGCTCCATTGTCTGCTTTGGTCATGCCTGCCGGACAGCTGTCGAAACACTGGTATCCTCCCTCTGTGTTTTGGCACTGCTGGTGAGCCGGGCAAACATTTCTCATGCACTCATTGATATCTGTAAAAGTGCAACCAACAATAAAGTCCTAATTGTCAGAGATAATATCAAAGTTTGGATAAAAAATACTCCTTAATAGAACAAGTGTGGATTGGAAAGTTTGCATTTCCATGACAATTGTAACATCACTTTAACTTGTGAAAGTTTGAATACTGAGCTGACTGACCAATGCAGCGATGTCCCGACAGCTGATATCCAGGGTGGCAGATACAGCGGAAGGAGCCCAGAGTATTGAGGCACTGATGCTGGCATGGTGAGAGAGCAGACTCCTGGCACTCGTCCACATCTGAAACATACAATTCACACGTCTGGCTTAATAAATCTAAACTGGTACATTTATAAGAAGTGACATTTTTCTACAAATATTATAGGACAATAACAGTGTACAACAACCACAGTAGGAGATAAGTGGTTGTGCCTCCATCTGCAGTGTTGAGCAGACGCTTTAACAGTGATTAGCAGTGACTTGCCTTCACAGCTGGTTCCTGTGATGCTGGGCTTAAATCCTGGGCCACACTTGGCCTGACAGCGATACGTGCCCACCGTGTTGACACACTGCTGGTTGTAGTGACACATGTGTGAGCCCTGGGAACACTCATCGATATCTGTATGTTGGTACAGAAACAGGAAGTCAAATGTTGAGGTAGAGGATTCTATGAGAGCTAAAACTGGGACAGTGTCATAGAATACCTTGTAATTAATCACAAAACGTCCAGCAGCTGAGTATTTTTTTTTCTCACCTTGGCATGTGTTGGTCTCTGTAGAGATGCTAAAACCAGAGGGACAGGCGCAGGTAAAGCCTCCCATGATGTTGTTACAGGAATGAGAGCAGGGAGACTGCAGTGCACACTCATCTTCATCTAATGAGAAAACATTTGATCATAACATAATAAGTGGCACAGTGACAGATGTTCAAAGATAAATGTTGCCAAGAGATAAATGAGGCCTTGAAGAAAGGAAAGCAGCATACCAGCACAGTAGGAGGCTGTGTCAAGAATGAAACCTTTAGGGCATGTGTCTCCATAACCGTCTGCAAACACAGAGTCCATTCAGTGTTAGTCGTATCAGCGTGTTAGATCCAGGATCTCATGTAATGTGGTCATGGTTTGAAATTATTGTAATGTGTTTCACAGACCTGGTATGAGTAGGCTGGCAGTGATGTGGAAGTCCAAAGTGAGAGTAAACATGTTGTAGACACCGTTCATCCCAGAGACCTTTAGCAGCTGGAGCAGAGGGCCCTGGCGCTCCTCCTGGTCCTCGTAAATAATGGTGTGATTACAGCGGAGCACCATGGGGTTTCCTCCTTTCTGGTGGGTCTGCGATGACCACGAGTACAGCTGCCCTTGGCCCGTTTGAATGTATGACTCATCAAATTCCTGCAAGACACGAACAAAATCAGAGTGAGAGGAAATGAGGACAAGTCAACACATTCTCTGGTGAGAAATATCTCAGGTCTTTGAGCAGTGAACAAACCTGGAGGCTCATATGAGACGAGGATAATGAAGGAGGAACAAATCCGTTAACTACGATGTCGATTAGTAAGACTCCCTCAGAATCCACACCCCGGGCCACGTGGGTCAGACGAAGGATCTCACCTGTTTGAAAAGATAAAAAGAAAATAGTAAATAGCTCACTGATTTACCAAGTAGAGGAAGCATGGTGAAACTGGGGTACTAGCCTTCATGTGTCAACTCATGCATGTCAGTGGAAGTGTGTGCTGCCATCTGCTGGTTATTTAGCAAATTACAAATAAGTATAAAACTCACCAGTCTCGAACTCCAGCTGGGACTCCTGTCTGAACCGGCCCTGAGTGAAGGAGTAGCCGTTTCTGGCTTCTCCGCTCTGCAGCACAGTCGTCCAGTAGATGGGAGCGAACACAGACACCAGCACCCGCAGCAAAGGACCTGCAATAAAACAGCATCAACTCAGGGTCTTTTACAGCTCATGGGCATACAGAACACTCTAAACAGCTGGAGTATATCCCAAGATATATATAATATACATAATAAATATGCTCTAACTCTAAACTCTCTGCTGCTCACAGAAATCAAAAGTAGAAAACAAAATCAAAACATGCTTTAACTTTTACCTGACTGCACGTCTAAGTAGATAGAAAATAAAGAAGAGCTGAAATTACGAAGACTTTTCTCTCTGAAAGTGAAGGATAAGGATATCAACCTCCAGTGGTTATAATGTGATCACTCACCCACGCTGGGAGGGATGTTGTCGAGGCGTGCCTGCACAGTACTGCTGGCTTCATCCACATTGTCTGAAATATTGGCCTCCAGGAAGGACACGCCAAACTCCCTCTCATTCACCATGCCGATCAGGCTGCCTCTGGTCTTGCGAGGCGTCTCTCCTGTCATCATCAAACACACCAAGCAGAGAAGTAGTGAGTTTACAGGCACTGACGTCAGTCATGTAATTCTTTCCAGTTTAGCAAGTTTAGCTTAGTCCATGTGTATTAATTACCACATATCTTCACAACAGGGTTTCAGTGGGGTCTTAAAAAGTCTTAAATTTAATATTGTCTGAATTTTAGGGAGTAAAACATCTTAAATATGATAAAATATTACATAATGGGCCTTAATACCTTTCTGTAGGTCTTAATTATGCTAATGTTCCTTTAACGCTATTTGTGTTGTCCTTTCAAATTTTCTTTTTCTGTAAATTTTGTTATGTGTCTGTTTTGTTGTTATTCCTCAACAACGAAAATATTAGCGCACTCAGTATTGTTGTGTATAAGTTATACATTGGTTGTAGTTTTATTATAAAGACCCTGATCAAATTTATCTCAGTACACACTCGGTTTAGCTGTGAGAAAGACCCTGGATAACTCTACCTGGAGTTTATAAAATAATGTTTCATGGATTATTTTGTCTTGGGTACTTCACCTTATCTTCATGTTTGGGGTAAGTGTAAATCATTTTGGGACAGTGATATTCTTTCCCATTTGCTGTAATTGATATAGGTCTTATACTTTTAATATATTATACTATTAATTATGCTCTTAAAATGTCCTAAATTTAACTTATTGAAACCTGCACTTATGAATTATTAATAGCCATGGCTCACATATGGTAATGAACCTTTGGTGTGTGTATTCTGTATGTAAGGTCGCCTTCATAATGAATTATTATTTCATCCATACACACAAAAACATTCAGTAGGATGATGTCCTCACAGGATATGGATATGACCTGGACAGTTAAATAATATTATGTAGGTATATATTCAACTTAAAGAAGACAAAAATAATTTGCACCTGGACAGAGACCAGCATGACATTTCCTAGAATCGATACTGGGACCACTGCATGATCGGCCCCCATTGGCTGGTTCTGGGTTGTTGCATAATCTTATTCGTTCTTGGAAACCTTGTCCACAGGTGATGCTACATGGACTCCACTCCTGCCAGTTAGAGTAGCCTCCATTGACTGTGGAAGAGAGAAGACAGCATAATAGTTATTAGACTCTGTGTGAGGTACCGCCTTGTGTGTATTTTTATTTAGAATAATTTCATGTTTCGTTAAAGTTGTTGTTTGTAATTAAAAGCTCAGAACTCACTCTGAACCTTGAGAGTAATGGTCCTCTCAACTGTTCCAGCTTCACTCTCGGCCACACACTGATACTCCCCTTCATCTGAAGCCTGTGGATCACACGAGTGAAGGAGAGTTTGGCTTAATTTTCACTCTGAGTGATTATCCTGACAGACACACAAACCTTCAGGACCAAACTGTCTTAGATCATCTATAGTTTTATGGTTAAAACTAGACAGTTAAAATTACAGCAAAAAACCCTGACATTTTCAAAGGAGCAGTTGATACTTTGGTTTCACTGAATTGTTTGTCATAATAGATATTATTGGACCAAGAAGAGGAAATTTCACATTAGAGCGCTCTGTGGGAAGGCCAGTCATCTGTCTGTGAGAAAGTCTTAGCTGCAGGCTATGCAATTACTACAGCTGTTAGAAACCTAACAAGGTTAGAGGCCTAGGTAAGAGGAGCAGAGTCTAGGAATATCCAGCTTTCTGTTCATCTCCTCCCTCTGTTGCTAATGCTGTTAGCCTCTGACTGAACTGAATCTGATTTAGTTGGAAACAGGACGCTGCAGGACAGTCACATGCTGTCCCTCTGCCCGAGGGGACTGCAAGTGAAGCCCAGAAAGGATGAGTGCTGCTCCGTTGTTCCCCAAGACATGAAAAGTAACAGTGTGAGTAGTGTCCTCAGTGAAACTTAATCATTCAAACTTGAATGACTTGGTTGAATAAAACTTGAGCTCTGCTGTATAATGTAGGAAGGAAAAGAGATTTTATATTTACTGTGATTCTGTAAATGACCAAAGATCCATTGAGAAGTGCCTGCATTCGGAGGGAACGCAGCAAGGGTTTTCCATCCCGCAGCCAGCGTAGCACAGGGCTGGGGTCTCCCTGGACTGGACAGTCGAGCATGGCCGAGCCACCCTGTACGGCTGTCTGAGACATGTGGGCTTCACCCTTCAGCACCGGAGGCTCTGCAGGAACAGTGCACATAAGAGTAGCACGGATATAATTAAGATGATATCATCTGTTGGAAGCTAAATGAGTAGCCTGGACTGATCCTTGACAAGAAGCTCACCTCTAATGCGGACAAATGACAGCGCTCGGATTGAGCCCACGCTGTTTTCTGCAATGCACACATAGGTCCCAGCATCACTTGTAGTCACGTTGTCGATGATGATGGAGCTCCTGCCGGCCTCATCCACAGTGGCACCTGGAACATTTTCAATCAGTAGTGTCAGAGGAATGTGGGCATCTACAACTATGCTTGTGATGACATTTGAATTCAGTCAACACAACCCCACAGTGCTGGGGTACATTAAATTCCAGTATTCTAGTCCAATGTGATCCCTTGCTTTGTAAATGTGGGTGTGTAAATGAATGGCACTTCGAAAAACCTTTTGAATCAGTCCAGTAGATTTCCTCCATCAGCAGCTGTGGCAACAGTGTAATCTAATGAAGCAACTGTGACCCTCCACAAAGTGTTCACTAAAACTAAAAGTACTTTTTAACCACTGAAAGGCTGACATTGTTATTCTGGGTCTTTGTTAAGAGTCTGGCAACATTACATATATCTCGCTCAATGGGAAGTCTCACTCTCAAGTCTCACTCTCAAGTCCCTGCTTGTTGTCTCTCTCTGTCTCTTTGTCCTCATTAGCTCCCTTGTAGGAGCTTTGTCCCTACACTCTGAATCAAACAAGTCAAGAAAAATGGGGGTGAAAACATGAGAGTGAGTGAGATTTGAAGAAAGTAGTTTGGATTTACTGAGGGAAACTTTCATGGCTAAATCTTCTGATGGTGATGATGAAGTGTAGAAGTGAAAGTTGTTTTCAACATTAGTTATCATTTTACCACATTTATTTCACAATGATCTACGAACACACATCCTCTTTATCTTGTGTTGTCAGAAATTCCAGTAAATCATGATGTAAGTTAAGTTACTTGTGTCAGGCTGACCATGTGTCCATACAAAATCTCTACAAAATTGATGGACCGGACAACAGTCTGCATGGTGTGTGATCAGAGACCAATCGGTTTGAAGTTATTGGCTTCCAGAAAGGCTATATAAGAAATATGTAACTTTCGTTATACGAGACGCTTGACTGACTTAACTGTGGTAAAATTGTCTCCATATATTGAATACACTATATTCTTGTTGAACGAGACATATTTAATGTTGCCAGACTCTTGGCAGAAATCTAGAATAACACCCGTTTTACTGGGGGAAAAAATGCCCTTTTAGTGGACATTTCCTGGACTTTCACACATTTATAAACATGACTCAGTTTGAAAAATACTGTAAATCCCCCTTAAGTGTCTCGGCACCAAGCTTTATTAACATGAAAATGACGAACACTAAAGACGTGGTGCTGTAGAAGTGTAAAATTTGAAAGCAATACCTAAGTAGGGGCTGTTGTTAACAGTCCAGGAGATGACAGTAGACGGTGTTCCCTGGGCATGGCAGGACAAGGCCAGACTCTGTCCTTTGTTCAGGGTTACGTCACCTGGCAGCTCCTTGAAGGCAGGCCTCATGTTGATGGACAGACGGATGTCTTGTCTCGCTGAGCCTGCTGGGTTTGTGGCCACGCATGTAAACACTCCAGCATCCCCTGGCTGTGTGAAGAAAGTAATCACTGCTGATTCTAAAACCTCAGACTTGGACAGAGATGTTAATGCAGTGAAGAATAATGGGTCATACCTCAGCTCTCTCAATTATCAACTCTCCTGATCGCAGGACAGTGAATTTGCCAGGAAGGTTGGCCATGATGGCACCATCCTTCTTCCATGACACTCGGGGCTCCGGTGAACCCTGAGCAGCACACGGCAGCAGAGCCTGAAATCCCTGCATGACTGACAGCTCTGTCTGTGCAGGAGGAATCAGGGGCGGGACTGAAATGAAATAACATTAATTTATTGATATAACTCTTATAACTCAATATAATCATCTTGAAGAGCCTTCACTCACTTTGAATAACTAGTCTCATGTCCTGGCTGGTTCTGCCGGCAAGGTTTTTGGCAGTACATGTGTAAAGGCCAGCGTCACTGCGCTGCGTTGAAGTAATTGCCAGAGTTCCATTGGCAAAGATACGTATGTGTGTGCTGTCGACCACAGGCCTCCTCTCTTTGTGCCAAGTAACTTCAGGTTGCGGCTGCCCATCAGCTGCACACTCCAGACTGACTGGCTGGCCCAGCACTGCAGTGTACTCCACACGAGGAACGCTTAACACTGGTGGAACTGGAGAAATATGTGGTGAACAGTTATTCATTTCATTTATTAATGTTGAATAATGGCTTTTACGAGAAATAGGAGCAACTGGTTGCAATATTTCCATGAAAATTGGAGTTTTGTTTTTGTGCCTATGCTACTGTGATATATAATTTCACCACTTTCTTCACATCTGTCCATCTTACCTTGAAGGACTAACTTGGTCCTGCCCACAACTACGCCAGCTTCATTCTTTGCCAGGCACTGATAAGTCCCCGCATCACCAAGTGTGACACGAGAAAACTTCAGGGCTCCGTTTGAGAGGACAGCCAGTCTGTGACCTACGATAAAACATAAAGTTGCAAGCACGGGACAGTCTGACAACAGTATCTTCACTTATCAGTTTGATAAAGTATATCTTATATGGAGTAAAAGGCTGTTCTGATATTTTATATATTGTTACCTGCTGCTATGGGAACTCCCTCTCTTTGCCAAGTGATGGATGGTCTCGGGAAGCCTTGAGCCTCACAGGGTAGAACAGTTCCATGATGCAACACCACCTGCACTTCCTCTGCCATTGGCCTGATCTCTGGAGGCTCTACGGGCAAGGAGGAACAAGTACATTGTCATATGGGTTTTCCAATGTTTTGTTATAAGAATTCCGACACACAACATTCGCAGAGTCTCTAAGAGCCCACCTTGCACTGTGAGAGACATATGTTTGTGTGCCACTCCGGCTGGGTTTCGGGCTGAGCATGTGTATCTGCCAGCATGACTTGGAACTGCAGCTGTAATCTCCAACACTCCTGAATAGAAAATTAGAGATACACAGTTGAGTATAGTCCTTGCACATTAGAACATGATGTATAATAATAAAAGAGCACTAAAGCTGCTCAGACATGTTGTCTTACCTGTGGGAAGGACACGGTATGTTCCTCCTCTGGGGCCCAGTTTGGTGCCTCCTTTCGTCCATGTGATGGTAGGCTGAGGACGTCCTTGTACGTGACAAGGCAACACCACAGGAGACATTTTCACAGCCGTCACAGTCGTGATATCATCTTCAATAGTCGGTGGGACTAAAAGAGAAAATAGAACGTCTATCAATTCAGCCAGCTGAATTGCTTTTCTACAGTCTGCTTAATGTACAAAATTCAATACCTTGTACAATGACCTCAATGACCCTGCGCTCCTCCCCAACATCATTAACAGCAGTGCACTCAAAGTAACCTTCATCCTCAATGGACGGCGACAGAAGAACAAGGGAACCTGAGGACAGACTCCTGGACAAAGAAGATAAACTGTCTCAGTTTTTAGACTTTTTACAGCTGAGAGAGATGTGATGCATGCATGCTGTGTATAAAAAGTGAATCCAGCCATAGTCTTTACCTGTATTCTCCTGGCAGCTGACTGATATCAAGTGGAGAGCCATTCCTCTTCCAGGACACCTTAGGTGGAGGTATACCTGTAATCTCACAGCTCAGAACAGCTCTAATCCCTGTGGTCACTGTCACGTTGAATGGACCTGGACTGATTGAAGGACCCACTGTGAAGAGATAGGACAGCTTTAGCTACAGCTATACAGTGCATATCTGGGTTTGAACATGGCTAACTATACACAAACAAACACAGGGACAGAACCATATCTCTGTTCTGTAAATGTAGAAAGTAAAAACCCCATAGAGTAACTATTTCCCTTTGCTACATTTACCAAACACCCGTAGATCAATCCCCCGGTGATCTGAGCCCGCCTGGTTGGACACGGTACAGTAGTAACGACCAGCATCACTCAGCTGAGCCTCATGTACGTGCAATGAGCCCTCTGATATCATGTATCTGAAACAAATGCACAGACAAGATGCATGAATGGACAGACACCCCAAAGTTTGAAGCTGTGTTTGCTTTCGATATGGCAGGTTGACCTATTGTTAACTTAGGACATACTTTTTGTCATCCAAAGACACAGGAAAGCCATCTTTTCTCCATACGACTGTGGGTGATGAGTCACCTTCAACTTCACAGGGTAAATGGGCATCCTGGCCCACATGGGTTGTCACCAGTGAACTGCTCTCCTTTATTACTGGCGGCACTAGAAGAGTAGAAGGGGACATCCATGTAGTTTTGACCTGGCTTTACCAAGCTGAAAAATATCTGACTGTCTATTACTGACAGGTTGACTTACACAGAATCTCCACTGTGAAAAGCAGACTGGTGCTTCCAGCCATGTTGGTGACCACACAGCTGTACTGACCACTGTCGTCCGGCCTGACTTCCTGTATCTCCAGGTACTGACCCCCTGCCAACCTCTGGATACGACCCCCTGGCTAATGTCATGAGAGGAGGGTAAGAAGGAAGACAAAGTATGAGTCAGGAGATGGCTTTTGGTTCAATACCTGTGTTTCTACAACTCTGTACCTGCAGCTTGGCCTCATCCTTGTACCACTCTATATCGGGAGGGGGGTCACTATCTGCCAGGCATTCCAAGGTCAGGTGTCCATTAACTGGCACTGTCAATGTTCTCACATCACCAGAGCCAAGGAGGGTAGGGGGGACTGAAACAAACAGATTAAGTGATGAACTTCTCTAAGATGAATTATAAAAGGCTTCTAGTGCGGAAACCAGAAGAAAAAACTAAATATGCTCAATTCTAAATGAGATATGAGACGTGGAACAGATAAACTCAAATTCTTAACTTTACAAATGGAATGCAGAATTTATAAATATGGTTGTGTGTCATTACACAATTCAGTTTACTTTACGTGGAGCATTAATCTCAGCAGTTTAATAGGTCTGAACACCACTATAAAATTTTATTCATAGCAAATTTGCAGATGCGTGACAAGGGGGCTGCATGATGTAAAATAAATTAACTCTGGCGTTAATCAAAATAGAAATAGCTGGAATTTGCTGCCAAACCAAGACTGTTTTTATTTGAGTGCAGACACTTTTACTTCTGAAAGCACAGATCAAACCACAGGTGTTCACAAGCTCAGGAGGAAGAAGTGGGGATGACATTTAAAAGAACAGCTGCTGTCACCTTGGACTCGGACCCAGTGGTTTTTTCCATCCTCTCCAGCCAGGCTGCTGGCCAAGCAAGTGTACAGACCTGCATCCTGCACCTATAAACACATGGCATTAATCAGTTTGAGTGGGTCTTGCATAACTTTGCTGCATTAACCTGAATTGATGCTGTTAAAATGTTTTTCATTTGTTTGAACATCTAAATTCTGGTTATTCAGACAAATGCTTGTGCCTTTTTTGTGTTTTTAGCATCTAAATCCCAAATCAAACATATTTGTCCTTTTGTCTTTTCTTTGAACAAGATAATCTTTGTATTCTTTATCTTAGCACAAAGTTACACCAGTATCACTTATTCTAAATAATCTGTGTTCAGAGCTACTGTAAACTTATTTGAACAACTTTGCAGTATTATCACGTGTTGTCAGTTTGTAATTTACCTGAACTTTGCTAATCCTGACAAAGTGTCCATCCTGCTGAACAATGTCCGCTCCTTCTAAGGGGAGACCATCTTTGAGCCAACTGAGGGTGGGGGGTGGGACGCCCACAGCCGAGCACTCCAGTTCCAGTGGATTGTCAACTGCTATGGTCAGCTCTGGAGAGTTGGAGCTGGAAATCTTTGGAGGCTCTGGATCAGAGAAATGAATCTGTTACGTCAGTTGTTGGAGGAGTTTAAACTGTGATTTAGATGAAATATTAGATTTTTGGGGGATTACCAAGCACGGTAAGGTTAAAGCTCTTCGTGCTGCTGCCGGCCTGGTTACTGGCCATGCAGCTGTAGAGGCCAGCATCTGAGGGCGCCACGTCGGGCAGCTGCAGCCGCGTCTCCTGCCCATCCAGCAGCAGGTTGCGGTGAAGGGACAGCGGCTGGCTGTCCTTCATCCACGTTAGTGTGGGAGGGGGAACGCCACGTGCCTCGCAGGTTAACGTGACCAAGGATCCTTGGACGACTGTAACTGGCTCCACTGGTTCAACGTGATCAACACCTGGGGGCACTTTGGAGCATACACACAAACATCTGTAGGAAATCATCAGATCCAAAATGCTGTAAAAGCTCTTGAGAAAATCATTGGGTGGTATGTTATGACTGTACCTTGGACCTGGACGTCATAGCTTAGCTCAGCTAGTCCAGCTCGACTGCGTGCCACACATGTGTAAACTCCAGAGTCTGACAGCTGCACAGGAGAGATCCTATTTTATAAGGAAAAGGGGACATTTAGCATTACCTCACCTATAAACATGGAATCTCTTTACAAAACAACGTTTGCTTTCAGCTTTCTTTGTCTAAACTGACCTCAGCACAGAGTCACCAGAGAGGAGGCGTGCACGGGGAGAGAGGAGCAGCGGACGTCCGTTCCTCAGCCAGCTGATTTGAGGCGGAGGATTTCCTGCCGCCTGACACTCCAGAGTCACGGCGCTGTCCTGTGTGACCTGCACCTCCTTGGGGACAGTGGTCTCCCCAGAGATGGATGGTGGGACTGCAGCAGGTCAAATTGAATTAAAAGGAATCACTCAGGACTAACACAAATGCACAAATATGAAAGTTCCAACTAACCTAAAACGAAGAGGGTGTAGATTTTGCTTTCCTGTCCGGCCGGGCTGAAAGCCAAGCAGGTGTACGTCCCAGAATCCTCTGGACTCAGCCTCAGTAATGTTAGCGTGCTGCCGTCAGGAGTCACACTGTCGGGTTTCAAAGACACATCATGTTTTTACATTAATACCATATGTTGATCAATTCTTCCTGATTCACCCAGCATCGATAATGTGCCTACCCAAGCCTCTGAATCCCTGAATTACTTTCCCATCATTATCATCATCATCCCACGATTTTCTCACGGTCACACACACACGTGTACATACACATGCACACAGACATATTTTGTCTCTGGCTGATGTGGTTCTAATGACCAAATAAGCTGACCAACAGCTGTAAAGCAGCTGCTCTTATGTTCCTCATGATGAAATTAGGCAAAGAACTATAAACGACTCCATCTGTCCACACATCCCTCTGTCATGCACCACATTATCTTTTACGTTGATGCTTAATATTGTAATTTCCTAAACCTCTAGGGGCGGGTGTTGATCGATCGATGCAGAATAATTGTTACACCTATTAATTCACACTGTGAATGACAGTAACTGCTAATGACTTACGAGATGTGACGGCTGTCTGATCCCTCTAAAGTCACTCCGTCTTTCAGCCAGCTGAGGCGGGGTGTGGGGGTTCCAGTTGCTCTGCACTCCAGGTCCAGCTCCTCTCCCATGGGTGCACTAACGTCAGATGGGTGGTCAGAGTCCAGGATTGTGGGTGATACTAAGTAGGACAAATATTCCTCTTAGATGGCTGTTTTATAAATGACATGTACAGTAAGCTCAAGGTTAAGTGTCTCATTTTGCAGAGAGTTCTTTACCTTGCACTTTGATTGTGTAGTCCTTCTGTGTGCGGCCCTCGCTGTTCTTTGCCAAGCAGGTGTATGTTCCAGCATGTGACAAAGTGAGAGGCCCCAGCTCCAGTCGGTTCCCTCGAACAGACCACTGCCACTGCAGACTGCTCTCTGGACAGCAAACATATTCACAAACACAAGCTGTCAGGCACAAGTCTTTATTGTTCCTTGTCATTCTGCATATCTTTTCTCTTACCAATAGGTGCTCCATCTTTGAGCCAGGTGATGCTGGGGGCAGGGACCCCTGTGGCCTCACATATCAGACCCACATGGGAGCCCAGGGTGTAGTTTAGAGATTCCTGGAGTGGCCCAGCAAGGACAGGTGGAACTATGGAAATATATTTGTAGGGTAAGACTAATGCCTTTTAGAGAAAATATTTTTTAGTTTGAGAACACAGCAAATGTACTCTCACCATGAACCATCAGTCTGAATGTCCTGTCCACCTGTCCCGCAATGTTTGACACTTTGCAAGTGTAGGTGCCACCATCTGTCATCTAGAAGCCAAAGAAGAAGGTTATTTTGGTGAGGGAAGCTGCATTTTGAGAACAGGCATTAAAGGGACATGGCTCCTTGCTGATGTGCTCTTTGGTTCGTGCATTGAATCAGGTGAATTAACTTATAACTAGGTTGTGTCTTGTCACATATGCAACTATGTCTCCTGCTCACCCAGTCTTTATTATTCTGTATATTATTTTAGAAATTTGCTTTAAAATACAGTGTTCCACCTGTGGGCCACTTTGGCCTTGGTAGCACTATTTTACTTTAGTTGTTTTGGTCAGTACTGGTCTTTATACATCTTTGACAACTTGTTTCAAAGCTTATGATCCCCATATCTCTGCAACAGCTGTTGACACAGAATAGGTTTCAGCTTGCAGCTATGGTCTTTAAATGTTTTCTGTACAAAAGGTACAAGAACAGGTCAACAGGTTTTTTTTTTTGGTTTTTTTTTAAGCCACACAAAAAGGACATGTGATGTTTGTGCTTATGTAACTTTGGTTCAGTATCTTTTATACTAAGTTCTTTTAAATTTGACCTATCAAAGGTGACAGTGTTATGGCTGTTAATATTTTTTACATAAACAGGCTGTTTTTTGTTTTGGGTACATTATTTTCAGGCTTTTGCATGATGTTGTTGCACAAGTAAAGGCTGGAAATCAGATATGACCCCCTTACTCTAACCTTGTCAAAAGCCACTCCCAAAAACTATTTTTATTGTTTTGTTTGCAGCCTCAAACGTGTGTGATGTAACATTTTCCCTGACCTGAACTCCTGTGATCTCCAGCTGGTGACGATCCATCTTCAGTCCGTTCCCTACAGCCAATTGCAGCCCGTTCTTATACCATGTGACCTCAGGCTCGGGAACACCATGGGCTTCGCATCTCAGTGTGACAGAGGAGCCAACCTGAGGGGTAACCAAGTCTGACTCAGCATCAAGTCGGGGCTTCAGGGTGGGCAGGACTGTTGGTTGGCAGATACACAGGGCATGATCTCAGTTTGATTCATTCAGAGTTGGTATGATTCATTCCTGGACTGTGCATGGTCACAGCTGGCCTGGGGTAAACAGATCTTTTGCCCAGACAGTGTTTTGAGATTTGATCATCTGTATATATATGTAGCTGAATTGTGCAGATGTGTCACCGTGTGTTTGCTCACCATAAACACTCAGGAGAATATTCTTCTGGTCTTGGCCTGCCGCATTGGTGGCTGTGCAGACATACTGCCCCGCATCCTCCAGTCTCGCCCGGGTCAACTGGAGCATCTGGCCACCTAACACATGAAAGAACGATATGGAATATAATTTCTCTGCTTGAATTTATTCAAACTAAGGAAACTCTCCTGACATAAAAAAAGAAATTCTGCACGTGGCCGCGGGCTGACCTGGGAGAACGTTAATGCCATTGCCAAACAAGTGGACCTGTCCGTCTCTGGTCCAGGTGATCTCTGGAGGAGGGTATGCTTGGACGTCACACAGCAAAGACACCATGTGGCCATCGATCACGCTAACTTCCTCTTCCTTGCTGCCAATTATTCTCGGAGGCACTGGAAGAGAATGCAACGGTTATGTTTTACAAGTAGAGCGCATGAGTTGTGTACTTCTGCTTCCTCCCACAGTCCAAAGGCCTGCTTATTTTAATGGGGGACTCTAAATCGTTTGTAGGAGGAGGTAATATGAGTGTGAATGGTTGTTTGTCTCTGACTCTGTCCACGTCTGGGGAGTCAGTAGGGACGGAATGCAGCTATGTTGTGAAGTAAGATTTTACCAATTTAAGAGACGTTTCAATCATTGTGTGGGGATCATTGTTGATATTGGGGGATTGGCCAAAAACAAATCAACGTATGAGCACAGAGAAGAGTAAACATGCTTGATTCATTATGAAACTGGTTGGACGGTGGCCATCAGCTGAGTTCCAGGTCCCACATATGTGACCCAGGACACAGTTGAATTCGAACAGCAAAAAGAATGTGGCCAAATGTGGTCTGAGTGATCAGATCTCAGGACACATTAAGGAGTGGGTGTGTTCACACCTGTAGTTAGTAGTGACCACTTGTGATCTGATCACTAAGGATGGATGTTAATACCAGGTCTGTGTCAGCCCAACTATATGCTGACAACCTGTCCAGGGTATAACCCACTTGCCCAATGTCAGCTGGGATTGACTCCAGTCCCCCACAACCCTCAAAAGTTAAGTGGTGTAGATAGTGGATGGTTACATGGGAATCAGAATATCCAGAGAAGGTGTTAAAGCTCTTTTCTTACCTTGCACTGTCAGACTGAACAACTTCTCAACTGTTCCAACCTTGTTCTCAGCGACACACAAATACCCGGCCATGTCGGACACCTGAACACTGAGGAGCTGTCAGATGGGATTTGAGAGTTATTCTTCAAGGTCACACATCACAGTTGGATCTGTTTATGCACTGGTCATTGTGTAAAAGTGAACAATAGCTGACCTGGAGCTGAGTCCCATCCTCACTGATGTGGTGCTGTGGATCTGTGTGCACCGGCTGCCCATCTTTCAGCCAGGAGATGACTGGAGCAGGGTGTCCAGTCGCGTCACAGTGGAGGACCACAGTGCTGTTGGCCACTGCTCCCATCTCCTCCATGAACTCCTCCAGTGCTCCCGTGATCACAGGAGGGACTGAGAGGAGGTAAAACATAAAATAATTCTTCAGAAATTAAATTAATTACCACCAGTGTAAAATTTAATTACAAAGAAGATTTACATATTAAACTCTACTTATTTATACATCTTAGACAGTTTTACAGATACAATATATCATTTTATTCTATTTTATTTATTTATTTATTCAATTATTTGCAAGTATTTTGTTATTTGTGTTATACTCTCCCCTTTTTACCAGCCTTTGCTGCTGCCACATCATAGTCATATTTATTACGTGGGTGGTTGGTTCTGTAAAGCTCTTTCTTACATTGTTAGAATGAAAAGTGCTGCACAAATGAAGTCTGATTGTTCAATGTACTTTCTTACCCAGAATCTCCAGTTCAAAGTGCATGTGGTCCTCTCCTGCCTCATTCACAGCCTGACAAGTGTATTTTCCAGCATCTTCTGTCTGCACTCGCGGGATTTGTAGCACCTGTCCACCTGACAGGACAAACCCATACGTACATCAGCAGATTCATCCGTGAATATGACTCCTCACTCATACATCACAACCACAGGCTTTAACACAGGAACGAGTTTCTACCTGGAAGTAGCACCACCCCATCTGCAGAGGAGGTGAGTTTTCTTCCATCTTTATACCAGCTGAGCTTTGGTGGGGGGATTGCATTGCTCTCACAGGACAAGCTGATCGGATGACCCAGGACCACCTCCCGCTTCTCTACCATGTCCTCATTGTTATTGTCATCCTCATGTCCCAGACCCCAGGCTGCTTCTCTGTTAGTCACCCGGTGGAAGATCGGAGGAACTGGCGAGACAGTGGAATGTTTGAGTCAGTTAAAGTAACTGAATCAAGAGGATGTTTGCATTGAGTTGAATTTCCCCAACCTGGATAATGAAAATAACTACTCATATTTAACCAAACACACCCTGAATGGTGACATGAAAGTCTCTCTTGTCCTCCCCTGCAGAGTTGGTGACCACACAGGTGTACTGGCCCTCATGGGACAGCAGGGCGTTGTCTATGTGGAGGAAATGGCCGCTCTCCTGGATGCCAGCATGGATGTTTCCATTCAGCAACTGTAGACAAAGAAAATACATCAGATGATAAAGTCGAGGTGAAATACTGTGCATAGCAAACTCTATTTCCACATTAGGCATTAAGATTTCCTTCAAAAATGTGTGACATTTGGTATCAGTGCTGATTTAAATGTCTGAATTTATGACACCTTATTTTCTGGCTGGAAGATGCAAACAATAAAACAATAGCTCCTTTCAATCTTACATTTATACAAAAAACCCTGTGTTTTTGAGGCCCTGAACATCATGCACTCATACATACTGCACATATGAAAACCAAGGTGCTCAGAGTGATAAAGTAGCTCAGGCACAAAAAACTATTAAAACAGAGGTATTACAGTATTATTACATCATGATGTTTAATCAAAGAGAGTGGGGGGTGGCTTGTGCAAGAGGATGTAAAATCTGTTAAGCTTGATGTAATTTGCACTAGTTGCCAGTAGAGGCTAATAGAGACAAGAAAACCAACCTGTCCGTCTTTGAACCAATTGACCTTGGGCTCAGGGAAACCTTTGGCCAAGCAGGAGAGGCTTAAGCTCCCGTTGATCCGAACTTTCTCCTCCTGACCACCGAACTTCAAAGATGTTGAATCACCCTCTATCTGTGGTGGGACTGAATAAAAGAAGAAACATATTTATTAAAAGTTCTGTCTCAGCCACTTTAATGTGTGAGGGCTGCAGATGTCTCTTACCCAGAACACTGACAGAAATGTGCTTGATGGCTGTGCCCGCTGGATTCGTGGCCCTGCAGGTGTAGAGACCCGTGCTGTCTCCCTGTGCCGAGCCCAGTCGCAGGGCCTGCCCACTGCGGGTGTACGTCTGCTGGGGACTGGATACTATGGGCTGGTTGTCTTTTAGCCAGGTGATGCTGGGCGTTGGTGAACCCTCAACATCACAGGGGAGGACTGTGGGGAAACCCAGAACCACTGACACCTCCAAGGTCTCACTGGGGCCCTTGATGGTCGGGGGAGCTGAGGAGAAACACAGACAATACATGTATGTTTAACAGCCAGTTATATTTTCACTGGCTTGTAGCACAGAATGAACAGATCCACTGGGGATTGACCTGTTTGTGCAGGAGAATTTCTAAAACAGAAATGCAGTGTGATAGTTTTGGAGCTTGGAGCAGACACTCTTTCGCTGACACAAATCTCCACAGGTCTGCACAAAGGAAATTCAGTATGTGCTCATGCGCCATGCAGTGTGTCATGCTGTATATGCTTAGTCTCAACAATATGTTATGTGATGTCCAGTAATTTTATTATGAAAAGATCACAGCTCCTACGGCCCTGTTCAGATGTGGTATTAACATCTTTCCTGAGATCACAAGTGGTCAGTATTTAGCATGTTTGTTCACATCTGGTATTAAAATGTGACCGGATCTCACTTCCCCACTATATATGCAAATAAATACGTAATTGTGTTTGCAAAGACCAAATGTTGTTTTTACCCAGTGTGAGTTTACAGATGTGTCAGATGTCACAGTGTGTCTGTGTGTCGGCTCTAGTGTGAGAGAGGTTTAGAGAGTCAGGAGGGGCTGAATGAATCACACTGTGCCAAAGGAATGTGGCCACATGCGTCCCAGACCTCCTCCCAATGTGATTTGAATGATCACACCTCAGGATGCATTGTCACATTTGGGTGCGTTCAGACCTTGCACTGTGAGTCTGAACTGGCGCATCTGAGTTCCTGCGTTGTTACTGGCCAGACATTGGTAAAGCCCCTGGTCCCTCAGTCTGACTGACTTCACCTTCAGCACCTGGCCATCTTCCAGAAACTCCACATGGGGGTCTCCATCACGGGACAGGACCCTGGAGGGAGGAAGGATTGGAAGATCAAATCACTGCCATGCATTGTCCATCCTCTGTGTAATCAATAAGTGTGTTCAGGTGATGCTTACTCTCCATCGCGGCTCCATTCCACTCTGGGTGGTGGTTGTCCGCTGACTCTGCACTGAAAATCCACCTCCTGTCCGAGCACCACAGTTAACTCTTGTAGTCGGGACGTTCCTGAAATCACTGGTGGAGCTGGGAGAAAAGGTAGAACTGGTCAAGAAGAAGAAAGGTGGACCACAGATGTACCAACTGGTTTACAGAAAGAAATGTATTACAATGCTCAAATACTAAATGAAATACAGATCAATTTAAATTTATTATTGCAGTTGTGAGGACACAATATCAGTTTAGTGATAAATGAGGACATGAGCACTGATGTTAATGGTTAGTGGTAGCAGATTTGGGATGACAACTTTCGGAATGTTTGGTACATCGAGTATTAAAGTTTAATCAGAGAGTTTAAGCTCTTTGGGAGCTTTAAACTGCTGTTCCATGAGATTTCAAGACAAATATCCCCTTTAAATCTCTACTTAATGTGGTAAGTATGCTTGCATCTGTCCTTTCCTCTACTCGGTTCTTGTGTCGTTCAAACACTAGTTTGAAAACTGTTGGATGAGCTCACCTTGCACCACTATATTGTACTCTCTCCTGGCCTCTCCTGCCGAGTTTTGAGCCGTGCAGGCAAACTGTCCTGCATGATCAGGCTGAACTCTGTAGATTCTGAGCAGCCTGTTTCCATTCTGCAGATAGACGCCAGGACTGTTCACCTGCACATATACAAAGCAGTCACATTGTAATAACAATGACAACCACTTGGTGGCATTATATAGCTAGATATCAACAAGCTACACTGTACTGTGTTACTGTGAATATGAATTTGGAACAACAAACTCACAGGATGACCATCTTTAGACCAGGTGATTGTTGGGGAGGGGATCCCGAAGACATCACAGCCCAGAGTGAGGGGCTGCTTCAAGGTGACAGTGAGGTTCAGAGGCTGGTTATCGTTTTGGATCTCTGGGGGAACTAAAACAGTACAGGAAAATTATCATGATTTGTGTTGTCACTATGCTGAGGTGTAATTGGTTAAAACAACAGAAAACACTAAAATTCTCACCATTTACTTTCAGCCTCGTCTTTCTCTCCACAGAGCCCGCCTCATTGGTTGCCATGCACTTGAAATCCCCGCTGTGGCTGGCAGATGCTGTGCTAATTACAAGCGCTCCATCCCTCGCCACAGAAAACTCTGATTGTTTGGGGTGTATCTCCAGGCCGTTCTTAAACCAGCGCACTTTGGGGCGAGGTGAACCTGCAGGTCATGTGACAAGAAAAGTAATTCTGAGCAAGTGTCAAAGGAACTTTATTAATCACGTGTGACAGAAAGAAAAGGTTACTTCCATCTCTGTCCCTTGTTACAGGAGAACCTTGTAACAAGAACCCAGGCGGCCCAGACGAGAAAAAGCCTGCTCTACATTTATCTGTTGGACAGTGGGACAGCAGGCGGGACCCTGCCAAAACGTTTAGACTCCATGTAACCTGGAAGCTCAAGATTCCATGGTCAGAGTCGCATAAAAAGTAATACACAGTATGCTTCAGAGATGCAAGCTTTAAAATACTGCCATCAAGATTTATTACCAAACACTCAGGTGAGAGTCTTGACTGTTAGGAATGGGAGTGGTTGAGGGAGCAGTTCAAAGGCGTGCTCAGGAGCCTGAAACAGATGTGTGCTGTGGATTACTGAGTGGACGAGAGCTGGTGGAGAAGGGAAAGGTGGATTGGGGGGAGAAGGTGGAGGATTTGTACCTTACATAACAAGGTCACCCCTCTCTGTCTATTTACAGAGGTGTGACTAACAGAAACACCAAAGAGGAGGTAGGACAATTGAGCACAGCACCCATCCCCCGATTCCAAAAAATACTAAAACTTCAGGACATGCAGCGCAACCAAAGGGGATGGTATCATCTGTTGAGTCTCTTAACACATGTTCAGAGTTAAGAAGCTCTGACGAAAATTCATTATCTCATTTCAGGGAGGAAATATGGACAGATGTTGTGTTTTAGATGTTAACAGATCTCATTAGCAGACTTTTAATTCATTTTCCGGGGCTCACAAGTGGGAGATTATCTCAGTGTGTTTCTCAAATAATTACCTCAATCAATTGCATTGCAGTCAGTAAATTAATAATATCCTTCTGGCAGAGTGCGCTTTATCTCCTACATACAGACAGATCTTGAGAGAACAATGAGGGGGTCCTAGTTTCCTTGTGCCAGCTGCATCTCTATAGCATGGAGAGTGTCATGCATTTCTACATGGTGATCACTGAGGTCTGGTACAGCCTGCCTTCCTGCCGGTGTGACTTAGATGGAAGGAGGGCTTGTGTGGCTTCATCTTCCACTTCCTGTGCTTCATGGTGCACCTTAGACATCTCTGTCCTTTATCTGCAAGCAGCAGCCTGTAATTAGGATTCCTCTCCCAGCAGGCCCTGACGCAGAGGAAAGCAGATGTGGCTCACTGAGGCAGCAGGCGGACTGATGTTGCAGCTGTTGCTCCACATTAGACACAGTCTTCACCTTCTCAAGCCAAGCTTGTTACCATGGCATGGCTCCACACAAACAATACCTGTATGCATGGGCTCTCTGAGGGTGAGTATCCATCGGAGCATGTACAGACACTCACCAGCGCTAACTGTGTTCAGATCAAACGAGTCCTCAACAACCCTCCAGGATGCCACCGTGTTTGCACTCAGATGTTAAAATAGATAGAAAGCAGCATATCTCTAGGTGCTGCCATCAAAAGAGGCGTCCTTTCAAGATGACAAGGATGTTTTTCCCCTTTCGACAACTAAAAGTTTGCAGTGACAAAAAACATTTCTTTGATGGTGCACAAATACACCTCTGTCCTACATTTGAGGCAGAATTTTCTTTTGCTATGTCATGAAAACAAACCTATAAAAAGACTCATCCATTTTCGGCTGTTCTTAAAGCTAAAAAAAAAGAATAGTCACACTGGGTAAATTGCACCTTTTCTAAACACCAAACCTTCCATCGCCCTTTTCTTGTCAGTTTGACTGAGGCTGACTCATCTATGAATCATATCGTACCTTCGACGGGACAGGGGATGATGACCTTGCTGTTTGCTACTTTCTCCATGACGGCATCTCCAGGTTCTGCAAATGATGGGGCCTCTGTGAGGACATAAAAAACCATGTTAAATGCTGGTTCAAAGAGCGAGGACATGCAGCACACTCATCTAAAGTGTAATGAGTATCATTTATTAATAAATGTTCCAGTGTAGGTATTAACTGTGGGTATAAGAACTCAGGACCTGAGGGTCTGTTGTTGGTGTCAGATTTAAGACTTCTCACAGGCACAATTAAAAATCAGTTAATATCAGCCTGAGGCTAAGCATTAGTGAAACAGATCATTTTTGTGATCAGGGAAAATCATTCTTATCTGTCCTCACAAAATTACTTGTGGTTTCACACTGTTCTGCCTCAAATCTCTGATTCAGACTTGCTAAAACCAAATGAAACATTTGAATTTGTCAATATAAATGTATTTGATCTGATGTAAAACAAGTTTATGATGAAGTAGGAATCACAGGAAAGCACCAGAGGCAGCAGGGATCTGGGATACCAGAGCTGCACATGTTTATCATTTCTACAAAAGTGGATGTTGAAATACTGATGAGCAAGAATAATGTTGTTTACAGTTTGTACAGTGTAAATATGAACGGACCAAGAATAGAGGCCTGCAGCATCCCTTAACTGATGTAAGGAAGGTTTGATTCAGCACAGCTTGCCACAACTGTCTCTTATACAAGTTATACAACTTGTAACTGAGGCTTTAAGTGCAGCTTCAGGAGGTAATTACAACTGCTTATCAGATTGTCAAATAGTTTTGGACAATGTCTCCTCCCATGGTGGCTGAACATTTCTTTAATTTACCTAAACTGAAAGAGAGATTCACCCCCATTGCACACTTACCCGATTAGCGAAGGTGAGAAAGGCGCAAGGGTTTGAACTTAGAACACTCTCTAGCTCCCTTTTTTTATTCCCTGTCAAAACTATTTGTGACACTTTTTGGTGAACAGCTATGAATGTCTTCCAGAAGAGACTGTCACTATGTGGGTCACTATCTCTGTTTTGACACAGTATCACATCTGCTTTCCTTTGTGGCTGTCAGAACAAACAGTTATTTTCTAGTATAACTGGCCTTTATCCTCTTGCAGCATGGAGCTACTGTACCTCCAGAGAATTCTCCTCAAGACAGAGAGAGCGTCTAAAACTGGGACACTGTAAGTGAATACACATGTTCAAATGGGCAGTGCTAGATAATGGTTATCCAAATAGATGTTACAGATTATGATTCACAACATACTGTATAATTTACAAAGGTTTGTTCTGCTTATTCTTAAAGGGAACAACCACGATTTGAAGAGCAGAACTGCTGATATTCACCAAGAATTTCCAGCTTGATCTCCAGAGTCTCCTCTCCTGCACTGTTCCTGGCCACACACTGGTAGGTACCCTGGTCAGCGAGTTTGACCTGCTGGATCCTGAAGGGCGTCGTGTTGACCCCAACAGGAAGCCCATTATGAAACCAAGTTACCTCAGGGCTCGGCTCTCCCTGGACCACACATGGCAGAGTCACTGTCTGGCCAATCAGGGCTTTCAGGAGGGAGGGCGCCGGCTGAATCCTTGGCTTAGCTGAGGACAAAAACAAATATCGTAAATGCACCTTTCCACACATCTGTTAAAAGCCTATATATTTACATATCTCACATATTTAACATATGTTAGAAGGGATGTATTTACATGGAGTCAAGCAACATTACATCATTTACGTTTAAAGTTTGTAATAAAGCCCCGCAGAATTACCTTGAATGTGTAAATTGTAGCTTACGGACATGTTGCCCGCTGGGTTTTCTGCAGTGCACATGTAGAGTTTACTATCAATCAGGCGCACATCAGTGATCTTCAGAGAGCCTGAAGGCAAAACAGTGAACCTGGGAAGTGGTTAGGGGTCAAGGGCAAAGAGGTGGAGAAAACACAACAAGCCATGAGTCACTGAAGATTTACAACCGCTGTGTTTTGGAGAAGAGCTGCTCTTGTTTTCAAGCAATATTTTCCCCTAGTCTGCTATTTACATGGTGAAGCATGCTTACCTCTATATGAGAGAATAAAGAGTGAAATATTTACAAAGGCGGTCCTGTGTTTACAGTACTGGGCAGCCAATATTAATGTGTATGTGTCACTGATGTGTATTGTTGTATCAACCCTGACTATGAGGATGAATTTCAAAATGCAATTTTGTTTCTTTAACTATTTGTGGAGAAGATGAGCTTATGAAACAGAAATATCGGTACAATCTGAGTACCAAAGAGTCATTAATGAAGTGAGTAATTGATTCATTTCCACAAAATGTGAGCATTTCTCAAAGGAAACACTGCCCATTGTGTTATTTGTACATGTGTTGAAATATATTAGAAAGCTGTGAAAGTTGTTAACAGCACTAAGTGGAATCTGGACTTTAGCCAGTGACTTGAAATCTCTTCAATGAGTTTTTACTTTAACAATCACTATTGTGCAAGGTAATTATAGAGTAAAAGAGCAGCCAGAGTTTGGCCTGATGATGTCCGTGTGGGAAAGGTCATAGGCCCAGGAAAATCAATGCGTGTTGTGCTGTTGGGAACAATGATGTTTGCAGAAACTACATGTTTATCACTAAGGAATTACGGATCATTGAAATTGAGCCCCAGTCTTATGGTGTCACAGACGAAAACAGTTAATGCAAAACCAGACATTTGTAATTATATACTTTTGGCTCAGACAGGGACAAGTTAGATGTAGATATGGCCAACACACTGCCGTCGACTCCAGAAACACAGCAGTAAAAAGTAGGGTAAAGTATATAAATGTAGGTCAGCATTGTTAAAGGCCTGCGTGGTAGCCTGAATTGTACCAGAGGCAATCCAGCTGTGTAAATGCATAATATGCAGAAATATAAACACACCTCTACGATTTATCTTAGATAAGTGTGTCTGCTAAGTAACCGAATTATAACAATAACATGTTTGTGTGAGTGGAAATGAGCTGGAAGCACAAAGAGCTCTCTATTTCAGCCACACATGTGTAATGTCGCTCCCCCGCTTCCTCAAACAAGTCTTAGGAGGGGCAGCTACATTCAACACCGAAACCACACGACTGAATTTGCCGCGGTCAACCTGCGACGCGGCTACTCCACGGTGAAGACCGTCGCAACAAGCTCGAGCACACGTAACCCCCCCCCTTGGCCATCCATCACTCCCCACTCTGGTGTCAAGTCATCTGTGTACACAGTCTGACACAAGGACTAACTGGGACAAATTGGCCTCATCAGGATTAAGCCTGAGGTGACCCGAGCTCTGTCTCTTTTTGCTATGACTGGGCTAAATGCATGACGATGACAGAAACCTCACCACCCACTGATTTCAGATATTTCAACAATCACTGCCCCCTGGTCACTTCCTCTGACCCACACCCCTCTGAGTGTAGCTGGAGAGAATTAATCTCTCTTTACGCGGCCTGCCTGTATCCGCCCGTCCTGCATATGCAAAGCACAGGGCTTGTGTGGGGGTTGTTCACAGAGATGTGTTATTCTCATCAGACAGGACCAGTAAAGAGTCAGCATGTTGTTTTACTACTGGAGCCCCCCAGGGAATCCAAACATCAGGCAGACGGGGCTTGTATCTCTTCCTCTGTCAGTTCGTTTTCCTCCCCTCTTCCTGGCAATCCCCCCCACCTTTTCGCTGGCCCCGCACTAGTAATGCTTGTATCAGGGTCACCTCAGCTTTAAACCCCCCCTCTGTCTTTCGTCTATCTACCCAGAACCATTCAGTCTGGTGTCTGCCCCAAAAAGTGTGTCTGTCATCCATCCTCTGTGTCTCGACTCAGCCAGCCTGTCTGCACCCACAGTGACCACACATGAAAGCTGGGAGTCAGTGAACCAGGAGGGACCAGATGTTCCTGCTCAGTTTAGGCTGCACACAGCTCTGCGACAGACTGTAGCTGCCTCTGCTTAACTGCCCTTCACAAGGCATCAGCAAATAAACTCAAGCATGGGCAGGAGCTCTGACTTGCAGCCAGCTTCAGTCAGAGGCTCTTGTAAAAGCTGAGTCAGATGTTAGCTAAAGTCAGAGGGAAGGCATGGCGACAGTCTGTTGTTACATGATGTTTCACTCATTTTTACGGCATCGTCGCCAGAGTGACGTAAGACTTCCTCTTACCCAGCTGTGACGGGGGGGATGGGATGCCCGTTTCTGCTCCATGTGACGAGTGGGGATGGACTTCCCTGGGCCTCGCATGGAAGAACAACCTCTGCTCCCACCTCTGCTGTCATCTTCACTGTGTTGTCATGGTCGCTCACACCCATTATCTTGGGCATGGCTAGGGAAGAGGGCAAGAAGTTGTAAGAAAACCACAAAGGCTCTTACGTCAAACTGCTTTGTTTCTCCAAACAGGATTTTTTTGTCTGTGAATATCCACAGACAGAGGTCAGACATTGTTACATCAAGCCATGCTATGTTTGGGGCATTAATACGTCCTTACTGTTGACACTGAGCTGGATCTCACGGCTGGCGTAGCCCACAGGACTGGTGGCGGTGCAGATGTAGATACCTGCATCGTCGGCGGTGGGGTGGGGGATGTGGAGGTATCCATCAGGATCATACTGAAGCGAGGAGTGATCTCTGAGCACAGGCTGCCTACCCTGTAGAGGAACAGCAGAAACAATTATACTGCAGATAAAAGCTGTGCATACAATAACACAGGCACACCAAGTTTAGTTTCCAGTTTACAGCCTGACCTTTTGATGTCTAATGTAATAACTGAGCATCGCTCTGCATCCCTGTTTACATGCACATGAGAATGAAGTCTGATGTACACGCACTGGCTGTGAACATGAAATAGCTTTTACAAATTCCTTTTCCTGACAAGAAAAGAAATGAACTTGACTCTTGAGCATCACTATGAAAATGTTGGGGGGAAAAAAGGAGCAGCAGCGCAATGTTATATAACAAAGTAGCTGTTTATGTCTTTATGGAAAAATATCAAATCACTGCGGTTAATGATTGCAGTGCCTAAATTCATTATGCAGTCTTCTATATATGACCATTTGGAAACTGCTGCTTGCAGAGAAATCATTTGTGTCTAAGAATGATCATATTACTGGTTTATATCTGGTTGCCAGTTTGCCTTTTTTTTTTAGCTTCTTATGATGTGACTTTGTTCACTCTGCAAGGGGTTTTAAATAGATTTCTAAGGTACAATAAAACATTGTGTGATTTCTCACAGTCAAGCAACAATATAGTAATGTTGCCATGGTTACACCCTTTCTTTTCAGGGTGATCAAGTCCTGATTGCAACAGTTATTGTTGTGTTCTGAGAAATCTGATCATAGGCCAGGAGGAAAAACTAATTTTATTAATATGCCCTATAGGTAAATAAAAAAACAGTTATGCAAATACTTGTATTCAAAGTGTTACGTACTACTAACAAATGTTTGTTAAAAGTGGAATGCAAAGATAGTCACTGGAGCCTTGTAATTCCAATTAAAATTAAAAAATATCTGAGTTAATTTTAATCAGCCACTTTCTTGTTTCAACATTAACGTTATTATCTTAATGCAATTATGCACATTTGTCAACACAAATCTGTCATATATAAGCAGAGGGTCTTGGTGCTAGACTTGAAATAAAGATGGATGACATGTCTCCATTTCGTCCCTCTACACTAAGAATGAAGCCAGAATATCCATCTGCCATCTCTTGATGTCTTTTCGAGCTAGATTCTTTACAGTAGTGAACATTTAGTTGAGCGGAGGTGTTGATTTCCCACCAATACAATAAAATCATTACTAATATCATCACTCTGGGTATACACATGCTCATTACATTAATAGCTAACATGAATGGTTTGGCTCAAACTGAACGAAAAAATCTAAATCCCCTCACCAGTACAGGCCTGGACATTGATCTTAGCTTTTGTTTGACCGTTACATGCTTAACATGTTTTTTAACTCAGCAGCTATTTACAAAATGGTAATAATGATTCATGTTAAGATGAACAGATGCCAAATGGGTTCCTCTCTAATGCTGTGGGAATCAGAACTAGCCGTTTAGTCAAGCATGAGTGTCTGGGATTCAGCCAATTTATATCATTTAAATGATGATTTGCACTGCAAGTGTAACATCCTACCTTGGACCAGACAACATTTGGCTTGGGAACGCCACTGGCCTCGCACGACAGTGTGATGTCCACGCCTTCGTTGGCTATGTAGTGGTACGGACCAGCGTTGATCTCGGGGGGCACTGTGGAAGAAGTAGATCACGAAGCACAGCTGCTGTCTGACTGGTCATGAAAAAGCGGACTCACAACATTATCACTGGCCACAGCCGGCCAGCGGTATCTGCGCTCGAGGCATTTCTTCATTACAAACCTGATGATGAACTATAATCTGGCCCGTCTGTCATTACGTGCCTATGAACAAAATGGCCCTTTCATCAAAGCATGCAGTAAATGAACCCTCTCACTATGATGACAGCAGGTGGTCAAGTCATTGACATAGTGTTGTTTTCCAAGCTGAGTCAGCACATAGTTGGCCTGACTGTCCATCGCTGTGGTCCAAACCTGCCAGTGTCTCTTACATATAGAAACTGTATTCAGGGATGGAAACTTTAGGAATTGCTTGACCTTTTTAGAGAGGTTTATTTAATTACCTCCTTTACCTAGAGGAGGTTATGTTTTCACTGTCGGTATGTTGGTTTGTTGTCGGCAGGATTAGGTAAAAACTTACAACAAGAAAGGATGGGACATGGGGAAAGAAAGGACTCATTAAACCCGTCGCAGATCTAGTCAAACAATGTTTTCACTTTCTTTTTAGAGCGTGTGTTTGACATTAACATTTGACTGTTGTGCTTTGGCAGTGTTTGCCCTGTACTTGGCGCCATTCTTGTCTCATTTATAAGCCTATTTAGATGTTAGATGAAAAGAGAGACCACTTTTATGTCAGTGTGAAGACTAAAGGCACATTCACATTATCAGAGCTATTGCATGTCTTCTCATTATCGTGTGCGTGGTGTGTTGCGACAGCTGTGTGCGGCTGCCTGTGCTCAAATTCGTCAAACGTTGTCAAACCCCAAGCTGTGATGACGTCTGGGTGCAGCCAAAGTGCTTCAACGGAAAGATGGACGAGAACCACATACGGTTTTGAATTTCCACAATGTGTGTTAGCTTTTACCCACAATAAGCCACATGTTTAGACCAGGCAAAAAATATATTTGCTTGCTGAAATATGAGCATGTAGTAAATGCAGCTGATTTGTGTCACAGATTCTCAGTGAAATGTACCAATCTGCTGCTAGCAACATTAGCATTGTACCTTATTAGTTCTGAAGCAGTAAATGCTGAGGGGAGTAACAGACCTATCAGCACGTCTCAAGTTCACTAATATCTTTTGAACCAAAATTAGCGGATAAATGCCGGTTCTTTAAACGAGGGTAAACTTGCTAAAAAAGTGACTGACTCCTTTCCCATTTTTTTCCCCCGGTGTTTGACCTCACTCTCAGCAAGAAAGCATATAAGCTTTCAAAATGTTTTGTCTATTCCTTTAATATCTTCTCTTACCGTGGACCTCCAGGGTGACTGTGATGTTCATGGAGCCTGCTACATTCACCGCAGTGCAGACGTATGTGCCAGTGTCCTCTGGGGTAGTTCTTTCAATGTATAGACTGCCATCACTCCTCAGGAACATCCTCCCATTTAGCTGAACCTGTGCAGAAAGGTAAAAAGACTTTCTGTCACACAGGGCGACAAAGATTCTCTGTGTGATGCACAGTTAAGTTAAATATTAGTCTTACGGGTTTTCCATTTTGGGACCAATGTCTTTCTGGAAGAGGTATTCCGTCCAGCAGCATGCAAGGAATACTCAGGGACTGACCAACACCAGTGGTAATGATTGGTGCACCATGAGCCAAGACAGGGGGCTCTGCATGAAAAGTGAGTGCAAACACATATGTATGTAGTAAACAAGAGCAGGAAAGTATTTAAAGGTGGATGTGGAGTTCATGCCACTGTCTGTAAAATAGAAGAGAGCCTTTAAGCGTACCCAGTCCAGTGACAGTAACTCTGGCCTCAGTTTTGCTGGTTCCAAACTGGTTCTTAGCCTCACAGATGTAGAGCCCCTCATCATCCAGCCAGACACCTGCAGTCAAACACAGTGAAACAGCCCTTACTTCAACATCACTCTCTATATGTCTGAAAGCACGCAGCATGTCTTCACTCACTGACGAAGAAAACACTTAATCTCCCAAAAAATCCATGCTAATGGCAGTTAAGTCCTCTGCTCAATAATAAGTGGTATTATTGGTTTGACTTGGCTATAATTAAGAGTTAAAAATAGAAAAAAAGGGGATTAATGGGTTTGGCTCAGCTGCCGGCCTGCTGACACAAATGTCCCACTCTGTAAATTCCCCCTGGAGATCACATGTTGGAGGATGTACACGATTCAGTTTGTGTGTTTTGATAGTCGGACAGATGTTTTAAGAGGTGATGACAAGACATTATGCATAAAAGTAGAAAAAATTAGCAGAGACATTTTCTAAAACATTTGCAGGTAAAAAAAATAGACATATCCTGCAGATTAAGTTAATTGGGTCATTTGGCAGCCACAAATGGAAACAGTGACAGAATCAGTACATGCAAATATGTATGTTACTCTCCTGTGTAATGTTACACGCTCTGTCAACATTGAGTCTCAGGAGCACAAAGGTTCACCTTCAGATAATTTCGGCTACATTCGTTTTTTGGCAGGCTGAGCGGCCTCACAGTTCACAACTTGCACAGGTGAGATTCCAATCTCACACTGAAGGATACTACAATGGAGGAAGGGACAAGCTACTCTTGCAGGATGATTAATATCTCAAAAGTAAAGTGTCATTTTTGTCTTTCACAGAGCAGATGTGGTGCTTTTAGCAGGATGGATATTTAATGTTTTGAGACATCTACTTTGTAGACATCTACCCCCCAGTTAGACTGAACTTCTTTGCTCTGGCAGTTTTCAATAGATAACTCACTCTGGATTAAAAGATGGCCGTTCTCCAGCTGCATTGTTCTGCTGTGGCTGTCCGTCCTCGTAACAATCTGTCTGCCGTCCTTTCTGTGCCAGGTCACCATTGGCTGCGGGAACCCACGGGCAACGCAGGGGAGGGTGATATTCTCTCCTACGCTAGCTGCCACGTCAACCGGTGCCTCAGAGAACAATGGCCCCGCTGTGGAGGGAATGGTGGTGGAAGATGGATTTTCCTTTGCATATATTTGAGAGAAAAATAAGCTTCATGAGGAACATTGACATGTGGTCTAACCTCCAACCTCCAGAGTGACACTGCCAGCAGAGCTTCCAGCAGAACTACTGGCCACACAGCTGTACTGGCCGGCGTCAACCTCCTGTACCCCTCGAATGTGCAGGGTGCCACGGTGGATGTCCTGCTCAACAAAAGGAGCAGAGCCCACCTCAAGCTCACCTGGAAACACAAACAGAACAAGCCTGTTGATCTCTAACATGGACATTCCCACAGTCACGTTGATGTGCACACACTCTTTGACCTCAACTAACCTTTGAACCAGTGGAAAAGGGGAGAGGGAACACCAGTGGCTTGACACTCTAGAGTGGCATCACTGCCGACAGACACAAGCACAATCTGCTGTGTCACTGTTACCCTCGGCACCTCTGGATTAAAAAGAAAGACATTTAGCATGAAGTTCAATTTAGTAAGGATTCTTAATTTATAGAAAGTAACCAGTTTTTACTGCAGTGTTACTTTAAAGATAGACCCCAGTAATGTGAAAACTTACATTACGTAAACATTTTATGTCGACAGAGATGCTTTTGTAAAAGGCAGACAGCAGAGCTGAGAGAATGGAATTATCTATTTTACAAGGCTCTCGCTGCCTTGGAAGATTAATGTTGTGAGTCAAAAGTGTGTATAATACCAGCATGCCCCAGGAAGAGGCTGCCGCAGTCCATCAGTGTTGAAGTTTATGTCAACCACTAACAGACAGCCGTGACTGAAACTTCAGGCTTACAACTGTCAGCACTCACAAAGCAAGGAGAGAAATATCCTACTGTGTGAGACAAGGCAGCGTGTGGCCACAACTCGCTTGTGCTCTACTCAAAGCCAGAGCTCGACTCACACTGGATACTATTCAGGGATTAATTCAGGACAAATGTTGCTAAGGAATAGTCAACAACAAAGACAAAAAAAATACTATTCAGAACAGAAATCAAAATAAATGAGATTCCAAAACTGTTAATTCAACAAAAGCATTTCATCTGATCGGTTGACTTACCTGCAAAAGTAAGTGACACCGAATGAGAAGCAGTTCCAACCTCATTGGTTGCCAGACAAGTGTAATTCCCAGCATCCTCTGGGAGAGCCCCTCTAATGGTCAGAACTCCGTACTGGTTTATACTCAGCCTGCATTATACAAATGTGAGAACTCCCATTTGTTTCAATTCAATTCTTCTGCTTTACTGGGATATCATGTGAGAAGTTTTTTGAATACATCAGCTTTTACATATTCAGACATATAACACTTGTGGTTTGAGGGAAAAAAGACTTCGGATCAGTAGATGTAAATTTATAGGGTGATGCAAACAAGATGTGGAAGTTGATGTTGTTGAAGTTGAATATAATGACTCTCTGACTCCGCTGCGCCGGAGGTGTTGAGTGGGCTGAGAGTTCCCTTACCTCGGCCGATTAGTGAGGAACAGGTTTCCATGGCTCCAGAAGAGCTGGGGAGGGGGGGAGCCGGACGCCGAGCAGACAAGGCGGATCTCGTCCCCTCGGGAGAAAGCCTGGCTCTGTGGGTGAACCACCACAGAAGGAGCCTCTACAATTGGAGTCAAACACAGGCAAAAATGTTGACAGTGACTCAGGGTCTCGTCAGTGCTGCATGATGTCATTTACAACTTCCCGATCAAGCGTTAAACTCCTGATGATGTGCGCTTCAATGCAGTTACCAAGCACTCCGTGTTTAACATGTGACTCGTAGATCATAGTGAGGACACGTTTCACATGTATTTGGTTATTTTTGAAATGAAGCCACTCTTTTCAACATGCATCACTTCGTTCTGATGGGAAACATTTTCTGATGAGGAAGTGGCTCGATCTGACTGCGAAGAGGTTGAGCCAATAATGGAAAACAGATGACAGGCGCCTGAGAGGAGCCATGAGGCCCTCAGTGCATTAAGCGTTTAAGCAGATGGCCTGCGGGGTATCATCCGACCGTACCTGGGACGAGAAGCCACACAGTGATTCTGCTGTCTCCGTGGGTGTTGGTGGCCACACAGTGGTACTCCCCAGCATCCTGAGTCCGCACCCCATTGACCTGCAGGGACGAATCCGCCAGCAGCTTCACTCTTCCTGCGTGGGCCCGAATGGTACGACCTGCGTGATGCCAGGTTAAGTTGTGGCGCATGGATCCCTCTACCTGGCAGGACAGCAGGGCGACGCCGCCGACCACGGAAGTCACATTGACTGCTGGCTTCAGAACCGGAGGAGGCTCTGTTTGAAACACGACCAAAACATCAAACTCATGTTATCAGCTGTGATACAAACAGTACGGATAAAGTTTACTTTACATCCAAATGTTTGTCCTGGCCTGCTTTGTATCACGCCATGAATCAGAGACTTCAGAAAAATGGTTGGAACTGATTTCAAAGCTTTGCTGCAACTGCGATACATTTTTGCAAAACGCTGTGTGTGTGTGTGTGTGTGTGTGCGTGCGTGCATTAGTGTACGAGTGTTATACCTCGAACGGTCAACTGGGTTAAGGCACGTCCCTGTCCTGCGCTGCTTTGCGCAATGCACTCATACAGGCCCTCATCCCCGGCTGAGGCGTGGGCAATCTCCCATGATGCTATGGCAGAGTTCCTGATACAAAGACATGTTTGGTTCGTTGAGAGCCCATTTTACATCACATTCAATTAGTGTCTCTGGCATTCATAAACACACTGGGAATAGTTTTCACTACACGTCAGCTTAATTTCATGAATGTAATTCAAAGCAGAGTGTCGGCACCAAGAAAGAATAGGCACTTTGTTAATTTTTAAGATGACACAATCAAACATGTAATGTTCACTAAATTTACTCTGTATACCTGTTTCCTGACATATGAGCCAATAAAGCTCGAGTCAAGCAGCACTAATGCTCTACAGACGTGCTCATGAGTGACCTAATTAGTGTTTTTACTGCAGGTAATGGGCTCATGAAGCTGCAGCATCTGGGGGAATCTAAAGAAGAGCGAAAAACTCACTGAAAGAACTTCTCCTCTCCCAGTGTAATCCCACTTCTGCTAAATCTTAGCCTGTAGGGAATGTCACTCTCCACGGAGCAGGCGATCACAGTGGGCTGCATGTAAAACCCCTTCACCACATCAGGCATGCTCACAGCTGGGGGATCTACACAAGCGAGGAAACAAAGGTTAAAGGTCAATGGAGAGATTGATGAGGTGTGAGAGACACTGCGGAGTGGCTTTGGTAAGATGTGTCTGCAGGGAGGTGGGGGGGAGCTGTCTTGCCTGGAACGATGTTGGTGTAAGAGACACTGGACAGCCTCTGGAAGCGGTAGCCCTCCTCGTCTTTGCCTGTCACCTTGATGAAGAAGCTCTGGGAGGGAGTGCGAAACTCCGGGAGACTCCACAGTCCTTGTTGGCCAAGGTCAGAGGGCAGCGGCACGGGGATTGTGCGCAAGGAGCGCCCTGAGCCTGACATCAGCTCCACGTGGCTCAGCTGACCTGGAGGCTTCAGGCCAGTACATTTCAGTAAAACGTGAGCTGGAAGTCCTGGGGTAGATGAAGAAAGATCACCATGACGTCATCTGCTGTGAGAATTCCCAGTGAAATAGGCCTCAAGAAACTAAAATAAATATGTTAGGCACCTTTTACTGGCCTTTCCCTGGTGTGGTTGAACTCAGAAACTGGTACACTGGAAAAGCCAGCCCGGAAGTCAAGATTGCTGACTCCTGTGACCCTCAGAGTATGACGCCCGCTGCAGCTCACCTTTAGAAATAAAGCAAAAGTATTCAATTAGGCAACTGTCATAAAACAGTCAAAGATACAAGATTAATGAATTATTCACCAAAGCAGTACCTTCAGTTTCCAGGCTCCAGGTCTGGGAAACTTCAGGTTGACAATACGTGCAGAGTTGGGAATGTTCAACATCTCTTTAAGGCCCTGCTCCACTCCAACTACACGACCTAGAAGAACAGGAAGATTTCAGTGTGAAATATGTTTTCACTTATTTTATGTAAATTAATTCAGGAACGAGGAAAATGATATATATATATATATAATGATAATATATAAATATGGTGTCTACCAAATGGATCGCTGAGCTCAATTTGTGGTGCTGGTCCACTGAGTGACACAGTGACCTCTCTCAGGCTGGGGTCAAAGGGCACATCCCACTTGTTCTCTTGGGCACTTTCATGATTGGAGGATAGCAGGTGGACCTTCAAGGTCTGAATTGTCTCCTCAACCCACTTTAAAACCTGGCAGGAGGAGAAAAAAAACGCTGTCACACCCGTAACAGAGAAATATCATGCTGGTGGAAAACACATTTGTCGGTGGGGGAGACTGGAATCTTTCAAATTCAAACTTTCAGGGATCCTCTCTCAACTAAGAAAGATGGAACAAGCACAGGAAGGATGCAGTTAAGGCCTTTGCCTGAACCCCCGTCACCTCCTTCCCTGCCCAAACAGCAGGCTGCTTTTTGTCTTCGGACTATTCTTTCATCGCAGAAGTATCCCTCAGAGGGATTTTGCCTAAACAAAGGAAAAGTGAAACAGCTCAACTGTCAAACTGATAACATACAGTTTTCTGCACTCTCAAGCATGTATTCCCAGAAGAATGTCTCTCGCAGTGGAAGTCTGTCAAGCAGCCATCCCCCCTCCTGCAGCACAGCTTTTATGAATCATGAGGCTTGTTCCTCAGAATAAAAAGCAGTGGTGAATGTGGGAAGATGTGCCTTTGTTTTGGAAATACACTTAAAAGATCATATTTCACAGCTTCGACCTGACTAATTTTAGGATCAGTTTTGGACAGAAATGGCTGTTTCCCCAATTTTCTGCTGAATCAGTTAAGATTCACAAGCCAGATGAGGTCAGATAGCAACACATTAGGGATGCGGGAGACTTTCATCTTAAATGAGTCCCTTCACCACTCTGGGTAAAGATTACCCTGAGTCTGACATATAAAATAATGTTGGACAGTTGTGGTGGTTTTCCAGAGAAATATCAGATGATATAGAATTTCTGTCTTGACAGGTGCTTCACCCTCTGGGTATTATCATCATACTATTGACTGAGAACACAGTTTTCCTTTTGTGTCCTCTAAAATGAAAACAGAAGCAGCAAAAGCATTTCATAGTATCATTTCAGTGGCCACAATGGACCAAACGTCTTCCATCTTCCAAACGCTTAACAAGCAACTGCTGTCTAGTATTTGTTTTGACCTTGTGTGGAGAGGCATTACAGCAGAGCTGCGTCTGCAATGAAACATTTCTTAAGTGGGTGCTAGGAGATGGAGCCAATGGCAACACGTTTTAAGACATTTATGAAAAACTGAAAGAAGGTAAGCCTTTGATAACTTAATTATGAGGCCTCAGCTTTTAGTCTATCAGGTCTGCTGGGCGCTGAGAGCAGCTGGTTCCCCTCGCCCTGTTTTTTTTTTTTTATACAATTGGAAACAGCTGTAATGTCTGCCACATGTGCAGCCATCACCAGCAGAGCAGGAAACTGCTCAGGAGTGACATACATCTGCCCCAGGACAATGTCTACTTAAGCAAGAGAGCAGCGGGCATCGCTCTGCCCTTAGACCTCAGATAAAAGGAAGTGCAGCACAGAGGTGGGGACGATGAGCTGTCCAGGCTACGGTGGGTCTCCAGGAGCACGCTGAGTTCTGCAGCCACTCCTTTCCTAAACCACAGGGAATGCAGAGGATCTTAAGTCCTGTGAAACATCATCTGGCGAGTCTTAGCTCAACAGGCTTACAGGGCAGCTATAGGCAAGAGCCCCCTTTGCTATTTATAGAAGCAGGCATGACAGATGGGCCAGAGAAAGAATGGGGCTGTGGTGATGCTGTATTTTCCCTCACTGGCCCAGGTACGTTGCCAGCAGAACAAATAGATGGTCTGCGGTTAAGCAGAACAGCTTGACTCCAGACCTCCCGGTGGGCAGGGGTCAGCTTAGTCTCTCCCGGGTTTGAACACTGTAACCACTGGCATTTGCAGGAAGATGTCCAACTACAAATCTAGGTTGTTAGAGCAATCAGTCACAGCTGGACGCCCTGCTGCTTCTCAGTGAGAGTTTGGACACACCTGTCGAAGCCTTTCACATTTCGGTCTGTACTTGAAATACGTGGCTACACTTCGAATGGTGCGTTTTGTTTAATACACTCAGGAAGACAACTGAAGTTAAATGTTACCTGTTTCATTTTATGTCTGACAAGCATTACCAGCCCCTTAACTCACGACTGCATCCAGATAATGAGGAAACCATGAGGACGATGTCATAAATGACTCTTCAAGGCATTTGAGCTGAGCGTAGGGAACAACTGGCCGAGAGCCCACAATGCAGAGCTGCATTTTCATTTACATGCTGCTTTAAAAGCATGTTTCTGTCAGTAAGCAGACATCATTGGAAGGCTAAAACATTACAGCCCTTATTTCTGATCAGCGCCTCAGGCTACGGATGACTAAGGATGGCATCAACGCCGTGAAGAGCACAGATCATATTCCAAGTTTGACAGCAAATTCATGTGGTTTTCTCTTCTTGTTAGCAGCCTCTCTGGTTAATCAGAACCAGTCAAACATATAAAGAGTGTAAAGAGTGCGATACGTCAAGGTCACAATGAACTGTTGTGTGAGGCCTTGGAGCCAAACACCACTGGGCAGCTGTGTTGGAAGGAGGGAAGCCATGACAGATCATATCCTGGGATTAGAGAGTAAAATAAGCAGTCTGTTTTCTCTCCACTCTCCCCCTGGAGACTGCAGAAAGACTTTGTATATTTCATTTGGCCCCACTTTATTAAACTGCTATTAAGGGGGAATATTTTGGTTAGATCTGTAGTGCTTCTGAGGTTTTTAAGGATTAAAGGATTTGCATTAATTTGGTAAAAGCACGCCACCCAAGAGCTATAATCACACAGGTCTGAAAATGACTGACACACAGTAATTCAATGTGGATCCAAGAATTTTTTTTGTTCATAAGTATACACATTTTACATGTAACCATACACCTCGAACACGTCGAAATACTCCAGGCTACTTTAGCACAAAGCCATCTGGGGTCGAGGTGCGACGGCTAGAGTGAGTTTCTCATTCCCTTTATACAGCAAAAACAAAATGACATTCAAACACTCCTTAAACAGCTAGCAGGATTATGGAGTGATAATGAACGGAGCTGCCACACACACAGCCGTCATCTGTTTAGCTACATGCAAGCATGACACAGAACAGTCCCCCCCGCCCTCCACACATACACAGAGTTCAGAGGTTCAGTGGGCCACCAGAGCACAAAGCGGCTCCAGCCTGGTGCTGCCCGGCCTGCATCTCCTGTGTTGACATGCAGGATACCAGTGTCTCTTCCAGAGGAAACTCTGGCTTCTTTTACGTCAGCCTGGGAAGTGAGCCCCTGCTGTCTTTGGCTTCTCAGACATGGCTCCTGTTACACACTGCTTCCGTTATAAAAGAGTCGCTCACCCATATCATATGACCAGGAAGTTTAATATCGGCATTGAAATTATTTGATTACACTAAATGAAACGGCTGTTAGTACATCAGTGGGTTAGACAGTGTTTTCTCACACACCACTGACTTCTGCTGCAGGGGTTATTAAAAAGTCAATGAATGTAACTTTCTCATCATTGTTGCTTTGCAGTGAGACTCTTGTCCTCTCACCTCGTTAACCTGCTGCTTGTCCAGGTGAAAGATTTGTCCAGAGGAAGTGGCAGCGATCTCCTCGTAAGCCCTGTAGCCGGGCTGGGAACGATCCCCACAGTCCCCGGTCAACACAAACACCACCTGGGAATGGAGGGGGCAGGAGAGTTAAGAGGATTACCACTGTGCCGTGTTTGCTTTCCACGGACTCACTTTCAGTTTTGCTCTAAAGTGACGCTAATGCTCATTGTCATGCTTAACGTAGGGGCTGAGACTGAGTTACTTTTGAAGAGACTTTCTCCTGCTCAGCTGACCGTTGGGGGAACTTCATTGGAATGTAGATCTTTCACAGCATGCCACTGTATTTCTTTAACTGCAGCATGTGATAAAGGCAAGATACTCTAAACTCTGGACTTTCAATCTAAACTTTTTCCTGCCGACATCAGATAAGAGAGGAATGAAATGTTTATTCTAACATTTTTAACATAATGTATATATGACTGAGGATGAACCCTCGTCGTACGTGATGAATGATACTGATATATTAAAAGGCCGTCAAACTGCCCTGATGCCCTTCTAGGAGCGTACCTGTGACTGACGGAGCTGCACCAGCTGCAGAACATCTCTTTTCAGGCGGTAGTCTTTGGCTCTGGCATCAGTGAAGACATAAATGAATGATCCAGGCAGAGACACCTCCAAGGCTTTCTTTATGGCTCCGATACTCATCTCAGGACAGTCGCCCCCACCCTTAGTGACAGAATCACACATGATCGAACACAGATGGAAGAAATAAACTGTAGATATCTCATCTTACACTTCAATCAGGATGTTTTTTATGCTTGAATAGCTCAAGCATTATTTTACCACTTTAGAATATAATTTACAATATAGTAATGAAACAGGTAAAGTAAAGTTTTGTACAGGAAATATTTAAAATATAATTCTCATATAATATCTCATTATTAAGCTACTGTCTTTTTTTAAGGGGTAATAAAACAATACACCTTTTTAAAATTAAACTAAACATTAAATTCATACATAAAACCTTGTTCAATTCAGTTCACAACTCACCATTATAACACATTCCTGAGGCAGTTTGCTGACTTAATGATTCCTCTCTACTGTTACACTACATAATAGTGTCTACCATTATCACATAATCATCCCTTGTGGCTACAGTGGCTGCTGCTCAGTAAAAATTACACACCATAGTTTAACGCAACAGCAGTCCACATGGAAATAATCTGAATTCATATGTAACTAGAATGGCACTCAGCAGAGTGCATACCTCTGCCAACGCTAAACCACATTTAAATTTACTAGATCCAGATTTTTATTTGGATCTACACCAAATTGCACACACTCATGGATATGGATTTTTTTTTTTCATCAAGATCCATGAATTATTCTGAGAGATCAAGGAAAATGTTGAAAAGGGTCCAATCTCACAAAGAAGTCCTGGATCCCGCCCCCCTGATCAAGATCTGCACCAACATTTGATGGGTTCTTCCCTGGGTCATGCCCCACCCCTCCACAAATTGGTAGAATAGTTTTGGAGCAACGCTGCTTAATAACTAAGAAACAAATGTTGATGAAAACAATGCAGTGGTTCCTCTCCTATAGAAGAATCATCCCATGTGTCCTGGTTCTCACCTGGACAAACAGCTCTTGTAGATCTTGCTGGAACTTCTTTGGGTCGGTGGTGATGGACACTGGGCCGATCTCTGCAGGTTTACAAATGCAGAATTGTTAAATCCCAAACTGAGACTTCTAAAGTGAACAGTTTAATAAGAGGTGCTGTTGTTCATATTTCCATCACAACCAAAGAATCTGGACCAACATGTCTGGATTCTTCTTCGAACTCAAACAGAACAACTTGATCCACACAAGAGATTTAGTTCTTCTCTCTGAGCCTCTGTGAACGAAGGAAAACGCCTCTAGAGCATCAGAATCAGCCCAAACTAATAGATCAGAACCAGAGTGACGTTCTGCAGCTTTTGTGCAAGAAATGAAAACCCCTCGCACACAACACAAGAGAGGTCAGACCGGTTCACTGACTTAATTAAATTGTTACGCTTTTGTTTTGCACAAATCGTTGAAATCTGCTCAGAGTTTGGATGATGACGGCACAATTATTTTTTGCAGCTGCCGTGACCTCCTCGGGTCTCCGGCAGCAGCAGCGGCAGCAGACCCCAGCATGATGGATAAGGGACACTTAGTTGGACGCCTTCTGGGACCAAACGATGGAACAATAAACATTAAGCAATACACAGAGACGATTGTTGTTGCTGTAAAACACTGCTGTGCATAAACTCGAGTTATTACAGCGAGGGCCCCTCATCATCAGGTAGGGCGGACCCGCGTGATCTCTGTGCCCCTGCTTGTTATTCCAACTGTCAGATACCACTTTTTGAAGTATCTCTGTGAGACTAATGATACAGGGCTCTTGGAGACGTGAGTCAGCTGATGACATTTCTGACTCATTTTCAGTCTAATTCTCAACAGCCGAAGCTTTCAAGTCGCCCCCCCTCCTGTAGAACACTGACAGCACTGTCACGCCTCTTTGTCAGCCACTGTGGCCTCTTTGCAGTCTTGGAAGTTTACAAGGTCCCCAGGGGCAGGGCACATTAAACACAAGACAAAATGTGTGGTGTTAGTGCAGACCCACCACCGCCTCACCCCCCCTGGCTGGCTAAAACAGGGGTCTGTGAGGGTTTTTCCGGAGGCTCGGATGGAGGAGAAGGAGGAGCAGGGTGGGGTGAGGAGGGGTGAGTGAGTGAGGGAGGGTGATTGGGGTAATTACACACAAGCAGACAGCATATGCTTCTCATCAGTGCTCAAACACCCTCCCCCCATAGAGCACTCTTATTTTCAAGCTGCAGCTTTCCCATACAGCAGGAGAGATGCAGGGGGTGAGTGAGGATCCTTACCTGTCCCACTCCGACTCTATAGACTCTCATGGTCCGGCTTGGATTTCTTGTATCAGCTTGATTTGGTGCTGTCCCACATCAGTGGAGCTTTAATGAAGCAGCTATATGAGCCACACCATGTGCTGCAGGTTCTCAAATGTGTTTGCACTTTTGTGTTTGTGTGATCTTTGCCAGTTAAATTTTGCAAATGAGAGAAAACTCAAATCACATGAGGGCACTTAACACTTCAATACTGTGGGGTTGAGGCTGTAGTCTGCTGCTTGGCATGGGTCTCAGAAAGTCAGACACTGAAACTTTGGCTTTGGAGCTGTTAAATGTTTCAATGGATCATAATTACGCACAATTCAGTGAAAATGTTCAAGAGTTCAACCAGTGTCACAGAAGCTGATAACTGCAAAGTGTGTCTGATGAATCAGTACCTGGGTCATGGAAGGGGACCAGCACAAAGTTTTTGATGGGTCTCGTCCTCCGGCTCAGGGTCTTCTCCAGGATCCGCGAGGCGCCCTCGATCACCTGTTTCAGATCGTCGTACATGGAGCCGGTAACATCGAACACAAAGGCCAGAGTCGAGGCGCTGTCACCGGATCCATCATCCTCCTCAACCCGGGGTACTGCCAAGAGCCTGTGCGCGCTGATACAGAGCGCCAACACCAGGCACTTTAACACACCGCTCATGTTTTTAGCTTTTCTTAGGATTTACTGCATCTGTCTGCTGGAGTGCGGCTTTTAAAGTATAAGAACGTTTTTTTTGTTTTTTAAGATTTCAAAGGGGAGAAAAAACTCTTGGGATTGTTCCAGTCGGCAGAAAAGATCTCTAGAAGAAGACGCCTCGGCTGAAACGCATCGGAATCCAGAGTAAAATCCTTCCACAGGAGAACATCCGTGCGTAAAGTTTGGAGGAGCGTGTGGACTGGCTCCGTGTTTGAAAGCCCCTGGAGAGCTGGTGCTCTGACGCTTCAAACGGGGGCGGAGATGGGTATTAAAAGGTTCCCGGGACCAAACCTGATTTTTTTGTGAGAGAGTGTGTGTGTAACTCGACCCCACTGTGACTTCCAGACTTTAACCCTGTCCAACATTCCCCCTCTCGTTCAATCTCTCTTTTTTCAATTCAGTTGGGCCCCTGGAGACGCGGTTTTGAGCAGCTTTACGCACATTACCAGTGAGCAGTCTGAACGTCGGACACGGCGATAACATTGTCTCAGTAACAGCCCGGCTCTTATAAATAGCCATCGTTTATATTCAGCTGACACCAAGCTAATTTTACACATAGAAATATCCCCTTGGCATATGAATGGATGCAATGGTGACCTGACGCGCCACCCAGAAATGTCACTGTCCCTTTTATACTTTGTTGCTGATCCGGATATAAGTGTGTAGTTATTGATCAAACGTTATTTTCAGGGACTAGAAGTTTCTCCATGACACATCTTGTCTAAGGAGATAAGATGTAACAGAGGGAGCCAGCCCCAGATCTTATGAATCTAAATAATTCAGTGTCTCCTTCCAAAGTACAGTGTGTGTGGGATTAAACTTTGATCCTCTGTCTTTTGTGCTTCACTAAGTTTCAGATGCTACATTTGAAATCCATATAAATTACAAAGCTAATCAGGAGATGTACCCCAAAGGACTGACTCGTCCCCGGTCAAAGCTCTGGGCCCTTCCGTCTTCCTACTTCCATCTGTCGCTGATGAGGAGAAAAGGGAGAGCAGGTCTGAGCAGGCCCATGTGAGCACATGCACAGAGCCAGCAGCTTCCACACACTGAGCCTCATTAATCCCCCCCATCAACAGCAAGACATCACAGTTTTATACAGTTCCTTGTTCATTATACAAGTGCACAGTGCAGGCCTATACTGCAGAGCAAGCAGGCATGTACCATTCACTTTCAAAGCAACGTGAAATTCTTCAGGTTTCTTGTAGTGGCTCAGTGAGATATTGGACTGAGATTTCCTGTCAACAGGAAGGGGTCCATTGTAAGTGACAGTCATTCCACAAAGCAGATTCTTAAATCATCCAAAGAATGGGAAAATATAAACTTAAATACATTTTCATTGACTACAAATAAACAATAGAAAAGTCAGCCACTTAAATGCATTTTATTCTGTGCTCTTATACTGCTAATCAACAGATAAATGACATTTATCATTTCGTAAATTATCATTTGCATAAGGCATAAAATCAGTGAAGCTGATAAAACATCATAATGCTCGAAAATCATCCAAGAATGGAAAAAGAAAAGGCATCATCATCATCATCACATGCTCCGGCCTCACACAGGACAAATACAAAGTGGACGACTACAACCACAGAGCTCGCAAAAAAGCTTTACAGCCAGAGTTGATGTCTGTTTGTGCCTCTCAATGACCGGGGCTTTGTGTTTGCTGAGGGCTGGCCGTGACGCTCACAAAAGAAATAATGAGCCTCAATTCAGATGTAAGCTGCGAGAATTCACTTGTGTTGCTCGGTTGAGTCGTTCAAGATACGGTGGCTGTGCAACGCCGCAGACACTAGACGCTGGTGCTAACGGGGGGTGAAAGCACAATGGGATGCACAGACTGGCAAACATAGTAAAATCCTCCATAGAAAAGCCCCCACTGCTCCCAACACCACACAAATAAAAACACTGTTCTCTCAGGAAAAGGAAACTTCCGAATGTGAGAAACCAAAAAAGAAACGATCCCACAATAGTAATAAAAAATACAGTGCAATACATTTCAACACGTTTGATAAAAAATAAAACTTCATTCCATATTTATGAGGAATAAATTCCCATAAATGCAGCAAAGCAGAAAATAAATTACAGTTATATTTACATTATATTATATACACTATACTGCTTTGTAACTATAAGCTAGTGGAATACATTTTTCAAGATTTCCACGGGTTAAGAGTCTCTCCACGTGTTGAAATAGCAGCAGCACGTTCCTCTGAGCTCTTCTCGTGCATCCACTTGACACACACTGACATCTCCGAGCAAAGTCAGTTCCTTGGACTGTCCATGGGGAAAACCACAACACTGTGGCTCGCAGACACGCTCGCACACAGTCCACCACACGCAAGTGTGTACGCAGTGCCACACAGCTGTAGAAACACAGATAAATGAGGATTTTGCTGATATTTTTTGAAATCGGCCATCAGAGGATATTGTTTCATCACAGTCCTCGGTGGAAATGTAGACAAACAGCTACTTGACACAGATGCCATATGGCCGTGCGACAAAAGTTTGCAGTCCACGTCTGGGTGAAGGAGTTTGATGTGGCGTCCTCCTGTTACAGGTGTGATGGTGCAGGACTGGCGTGTGTGGTACTGCGCAGGAGGATGCGGAGTTGGATCCATCTGAGAGGTTAAAAGAGACATTTCCATTTGAATAGAAGACATAAAGCGGCGTCATAACACCTGGGTGAGTTCATGCATGCAAGATAACCAGTGAGCAGAGCTACTGCGTGACTAAAATCTGTCTTCACAAGCTCCTTCACTGTTGACAAAACGCTGAGCAGGATGTCAGCAACAATTGGCAGCGGCTGATGCATTACAAAAGGCAGTGAGTGGAGAGGGCTGTCTCGCTCTTCACTCAGCACTGCAAGACTATTTGATTGCCAGCAAACAAGTGGGCCATTTGAATAATTCATAAGAACAAACTGGCCGCAGCTTCTTCATTTTGCTTACGGCCCACAGACTACATTTCCTGTCTTATTTTCTGCTCTGATGAAAAAGGAATTACAGTTTTATCTTGCAGTTGAAGTGTGACCTGGGATTTGAAAATCACCCATGCAGAGAGGTATGCAGGTAGTAGCTCATTGATACCCCACTCACCTTACACCCCTACACAAGTCCGTCATACAGTGACAACGCCTGAACAATAGAGGGGTCGGCCTTTGAGCCCTCCTGAAACTCCTGCAGCGTCAGCTTCCCATCGGCATTCTGAGACGAGAACATGAGATCCAATGTAACTGAAGGCTGTTGATGCTTTAGCACAGAGCGACCAGAAGGGGGCAAAAGAGTCTCTCACCCTAAAGCCATGCTACTCTCCTACTCTGCTGTTGGACTGATCTTTGGTTCATTGCACTTGGAGGGTGGCCACTCTGCCAATACAAATCACTTAGTGCTGCCGTGCACCTACACCAATGGACTGATCTTGGCAGTAGCGGGTTGACAAACACCCAGTGCAGGCTGCGTCTCATCTTTCACTACAGATGAGAGAGTGTTGGGGGCTGAGGGAGTGGGCATAGCACAGAGGGCTATCAGTAGAGGACACTGCTGTATATGTGATGTTTATAGACTGCGGGCAGTGTTAGTGACGCTGGGATGGCTGCGGCTAACGGCTCTAAACTTAACAGTGTACATGTCAGAGCCCTGAGGGAGGGGAGGAAGGGAGGGAAGGAAGGCAGGGGAGGAAGGAAGACTTTGCCTTGATGGTGAACTAATAATCATAACTGCAACTGTATAAATGTCAGGTCAAGTTTGATGTTAAGCTGCAGAAAGTAACGTGAAATGATTCAACAGCTAGAGCAACTCTAGTGGCAGTTCTAGGACTAGGAGGTCATACATTTACAGAGGCCAATAATATCCATAATATCCATAATTCATCCATGCACATTTCCTGATCAGTAAGGTGCACAATGATTCCTTGTTCACTGTTAGCTCTATAACTTTCAGCAAAGACGCACATCATTGGATATATTTAGAAAATTGTTCCTGTTTCAAGTACAGTAAGTACTTGTAAGTACAATGTACTTGAAAGAAAAAATTCTTAGCAAACTGTAATATTCTTTGTTAGTACAATCAGATTTCAGCCCCCCTGGTCCAGCAGCTGGCAATATCACACTTCAGACTTTTAATATTCTTTTTATATTAAACTTCTAACCTTGTCCATCATTGCAAAAATACGGTCCACTCGTTTCTCTGGTGTGTTTTCATCCTCTGGCAGTTCCACAGTGTTGCCCTAAGATAACATCAATATCATTACACATACAAATCATTACACTTTATACAACTAACAACAAAATACAAGTTTCAATCTTTCGTGACACTTACCACCATCTTATATATGGCATCCACGATGTTCAACATCTCATCACGGGTAATGTAGCCGTCGTTATCAAGGTCGTATAATTTAAAAGCCCCTGTGGAGAGAAAGATGTTTAAATATATGGTTATTTTTACTGCGGCAAAAAAAAAAGATTCACAACTGTTTCAGGTAGCTGAGCTCAGGTTGAGATCTAAAAGCTGCTGTCACCTCAAAATGTAAAACAAAAGATTAGAATACAATATATATTTTCATGGATAACAAAGCACGTAGTCTTTCATGCCTTTGAAAACAGTGACAACAGAGTGGAGACAGACTGCAGCCTTTCATGGTTGCTACAGTGGTGAATCTGGATCTAAGTAATCATCATCCTTTGTTGTAGATTAAAAAGTTATGGTTACTGCAAAATTTAAAGTTTTAAAAAATGTAAAACATTTTTTTTTAAAGTGTTTTATTCTTAAGAAAAAGGTTTGGTCACGACACACAGCTTCTTGCAGAAGCCGGCTGTATCTTGCTAATAATCTTTTATTTGCTGTTCTCTCAGAACCCAACAGTCCTCTTTCATATGCAACGCAAGACAATCAATTGTAAATCTTTCAATTTAAATGTCAAGAAATAAGGGAGGAGGGTGCACGATCTTACATCTCAACTTCTCATCCAGAGTTCCCCGAGAGGTCACGGACAAAGCCTGGATGAACTCAGAGAACTCGATGCGTCCATCCTACAGAGTGACCAAAGAGGAAGAGGAAGACATAGAGGACATGGGCCAAAGAAAAGATGAGTATTCTACATCCCACTTGCAGTATCTGTGCTTTCATGAACTCTTCGCTCTCCTTGTCTCTTCATGTCCTTCCTGCATTCTGCTGAAAACAGGGCCAGACGTTTGCTCC